AATACTTGCAGGGTTTTGTGTGTTTTTTTTTTTTTTCCCAACATGCAACTATGTTTTATAACCAAGGGCCCCCACCCACCTGCCCACCCACCCATGAGGATGTCCTCCGGCTTCTCCACCATCACTTTTCCTCCTCTGGTCGCTCACACTGCCCCAGGCTACCTGTAGGGGTGAGGGCCCTGCTCCCTCCACTCCTGCTTGTTCGGCCCCCTTCCAGCTCACCCCATCTTGGCCCCTGGCCCTAATCCTTCACAACCTCCATAGGTACACGGAGACAAGGTTATTGCGTTTAACAAACATGCACAAAAGGTTAACAGTGTTGGGGGAGAGCATGCGTCAGGGACCATCTGAAAACAGAAAATATAGGCTGTGGCTTCCTTGAAAAGTAATCTGCCATTGTCTTCACATAGAGTTTCCCAGGAACCCGATCTGTCCTTGGCTGCAGCTTCTCTGATCTGCTGGGCTTCTCCTCTTCCCTTGACTGACCCTTCTCCCTACTCCAGCTGCCAGCTTCCAGTCCCCCGCCCGCATGTTTCACTTACTTTCTTATGAGCCTCAGTGTTTGCCTCCTCCCCCCAGACTGGGCTCTGCACTTGGCTTTCTCTGTTCAGACACTCATGCAAGTTCTGATCTTTTCCCCAGCAGTACAAATAACCATGGAGCCTTTGAAATTGTCATTGGACACTAAAGTCTTAGGCACAGCTGCCACCCACCTTTTTTTTTTTTAAATTTATTTATTTGTCAGAGTATGCACACAAGCAGGGGGACTGGCAGGCAGAGGGAGAAGCAGGCTCCCCACTGAGCAGGGAGCTCGAATAAGATTCGATTCCAGGACCCTGAGATCGTGACCTGAGCACAAGGCAGACGCTTCGCCGGCTGAGCCACCCTGGCGTCCCTCCCACCCACCCTTTACCAGAACAGCTGAGAGTCTTCTTCATGTTATGGTGTTACTGCTTTATCATGCTACGCACGCCTGGGAGATCCGGGAACTGCCGCCTTTCCTCTCTCCTTCCCTCACGCACTTTGAGAATCACTGCTCTAAGCTAACAGTAACTGGGAAGGCAGCATGTGCGTTTGGCTTCAGAACAACCAGGTTGGAATCCTGCCTTCCCTATGACTAGCTCTGCCAGCCTGGGCAGGTTTCTGCAGAGGATTTCAGTTGTCTGTGTCCACAGCATCCATTTCCCACGTTCTCAATTTCCAACCCCTGTCGACCACTGCTGTTCTAGCAGGAATCCATGAGCTTCCCGGACGCTAGTGAGTGTATTCCAGTTCTTTGGCTGCAGGAATTGGCTCAGGGGTCATGTGTTTGGCCAAACAGCAGTCTAGATGTTGCTGTGAAGGCGTCTTTTAGATGTAATTAATCTTTAAATTAGTAGACTTTGAGTAGGGCAAATTATTCGCCGTTCTGCTTTGAGTAGAGCAGAGTGGGGGGTGGGCCTTGCCCAATCAGTTGAAGTCCTTAAGAGCAAAGACTGGGATTTTGCCCATGATAAAAAAATATTCTGCTGCAAGATTGTGGCCTAGAAATTCTGCCTGAGTTTCCGGCCTGCTGCCCTGCAGAATTCAGACTTAAGGCTGCAACCTCAACTCTTAACCTGAATTTCTAGGCCGTTGGCCTACATTCTCATTGCCGACTCGCCAGCCTCCACAATTGAATATGTGAGATAATTCCTTAAAAAAAATCTCTCTGTTGTGTAGATGTGTATAAATATACCACCCAGAGTGCTGAACTTCTTTCTGTCTTAACATTTGGGTATTTTCTTTTTTATATACATACACATGAAAGAGAGATTTATTTTATCTGTATAAATATACATACATACACTTATAGGAGATGTGTGTGTGTGTGTACTTCCTATTGGTTCTGTTTCCCTGGAGAACTCTGACTCACCCAGGTAGGTATGTCAAAGCTGGACCAATTAGAGTAAAACTGAGGCCTTTTTCTGGGAATGCTGGGTATAACCACTCTCTTTCTTTGAATGGTGGACTTGGAACAGCTGCCATGTGCTGGCTCTGGACCCAAATCCCAAGACCTAATGCAGGCACCACCAGTTACCACCTGTGGTGCTGCTCCTTCATTTCCTTATATGTAAGGTGGGATTATAGTATTTACCACATAGGGTTATTGTGAGGTTTTAATAAGTACTAAACACTTAGAACAATGCCTGGGTCATAGTAAATGTTCAATAAATCCAAGCGATGGTGATGGTGGTGATGGTGATGATGATATACCCAGCCCAAGGAAAAAACTGATATATCAAGAGAGCAAGAAAATGGATTCAGAGCCCTGATGGCTTGTCAGATCTCCAGGTCAAACTGAGCTTGACAGCCAGCCTACCTCTGGACACAAGCTCATAAATTCCTTGTATTTTTTTTTTTTTTTTTTTAAAGATTTTATTTATTTATTTGACAGAGAGAGATCACAGTAGGCAGAGAGGCAGGCAGAGAGAGAGGAAGGGAAGCAGGCTTCCTGCTGAGCAGAGAGCCCGATGCGGGGCTCGATCCCAGGACCCTGGGATCATGACCTGAGCCGAAGGCAGAGGCTTTAACCCACTGAGCCACCCAGGCGCCCCAATTCCTTGTATTTTTTAAACCTACTTGGGTTGAGTTTTTATTTCATCCAGAGTGCTCAACAATTTCCTGTCCTGCCAGTTGGGCAATTTTGTTTTGTTTTGTTTCAGACCCATAAGCACGAGACCCACAACCCTTTTCCCAGAAAATGGAGCTACCTATCTACTCTCGTTAGGGTGATAGGAAATCCTGAGATTTCTGTGGCTCCAGGAACCCTGTTTCTACCCATCAGCAGGGAGGTACCTTCAATTCCTCAGAGGTGATTTACTCTCCAATAGCAATTGCACAAATAATTCCTGGGTGGGTGATTTCACTAAGGAGGAGTCAGGAAGGGCCTATCAACGATGGAAAGATAAAGGACTTAAGGAAAATGCAAATAAAAAACATAATAAGATAGCATTTCAGCTCACTAGTTAGGCAAAAATGTAAAAGTCTCAAAAGCTCTAAGCGCTGAAAAATATATGGAGCCAAGGGGACTTTTACATACTGCTGATATGGGGTTTTAAATTGTAGTCTACCAAACAAGGTATAAAAATGGACATTATCATGTAAAGCTGAAAACGTCCTTGTCCTGTGAGATGAGAATATTACTACTGAGTCTATCATTAGACTCTCAGACAGATGTCACGTGAGACACAAGAATATTTAGCACTGAATTGTTGGTAAGAGCAAAAAGACTGAAAACAACTGATGTATCCATACACCTGGGGAATGGAGAAATAAGGTGTGGAATATTTACTTAAAGCATTACAAAGACAATTAAAAAGAATGAATTACAGCTGCATGCATTGATGTGGTTAAATCTAAAAATCACAGCTTTGGTTAAGAGCACTTGCAGAATACATACCAAATATCATTTACAGAAAGTTTAGAATCAGACAGTAATTCATACATTATATAGGCATTTATCAAGATAGCTCCATTTTCTGGGAAAAACATTATAAGTCTTGTGCTTGTGGGGCTGACACAAGTCAGATGAGTGGTTATTGTTGGGGTGGGAGAGATAATGGTTTATTTTCTAATCCAGTGTTGAGTACATGAGTGGTTTTTTTTGTTTTTGTTTTTGTTTTTGAGAGAGAGCGAGGAGGGAGGGACAGAAAGAATCTTTTTTTTTTTTTTTTTTTTTAAGATTATTTATTTATTTATTTGAGAGAAAGAGTAAGATGTCATGAGCAGGGGGAAGGGCAGAGAGAGAAGCAGACTCCCCGCTAAGCCCCACACCAAGTAGGGAGCTCCACGTGGGACTCTATCCTGAGACTCTGGGATCACGACCCCAGTCCAAGGCAGACACCCAACCAACTGAGCCACCCAGGCATCCGGGAGAGAGAGAACCTTAAGAGGACTCCACGCCCAGCACAGAGCCCATGTTAGTGCGGGGGGTGGAGAGGACAGGATCTCATGACCCTGAGATCATGACCAGAGCCTGAAATCAGCAGTGGGATGTTGAACCAAACTGAGCCACCCAGGCGCCCTATGAGTGTTCTTTTTTAGACTTACATTATGTATATTTATTCTTTTGTGTGCATGAAATATAACTTTTTATTGTGATAAAATATACATAACATGAAACTCAGCATTTTAATCATTTTTAACTCCACACTTTAGCGCTAGTTAAGTACATTCAGGTTAGGCAACCAACGACCACTCTCCGTCTGCAGAATTTGTTCATCAACCCACTGTGTTTCTGGCACGTATCCGAGAAATCAGTGCCCAATTCTATGTCATGAAGTTTTTGCTGTGCTTTCTTCTAAGAGGTGTATAGTTTTCAAGTTTAGGTCTTTGATCCATTTTAGGTTCATTTTTATTTACTGTGTGGTAAGGGCCCAACGTTCGTTTGCAGGATAATACATTTTTAAACGAAGAAAAGAATAGAAAATATTAGCTCCAGAAGGGCCCTTCGCATTTGCACTGAGGAAACTGAAAAAGAAGTAAAATAATACGCGGATTCATACAGCTGGTTGAGGGCAGCAACGGGGTCAAATCCTGCCTTTCAGGCAATGCAGCGCTCTAAATGCCCAGGAGCCTGAACCAGGAGCTCCTTCCGGATTTTGGGTCCGGTACCCAGGGCGCGCTCACCACCTCTTTTCCGCTCCGGCTCCTCCCCTTCCCCGCCCCAGGGGCGGACCCACGAGGCTCAGGAACTGCGGGGCTTTGGAAAACTGGCGCGGCGCACGGGTGGAAGGAAAAGCCCGGCAAGTCGGTGTCGTCTCAGAGACCATCAGCAGTGCATTGTAAGGCGCAGACTCCAGCTTTCCCAGAATTCCAGACCGGGTTTTCTCTCGCGCTCCAGGACGGGGAGGAGCCCCGGGGCCCGCTCCCGACGGGGTTCGGGGAGGGGCGTGGGGGCGGGCGAGTGTGCTCGGCTGCGATTGGCTGCTCGGAGCGGCGCGGGGTTTGGCGGGAGCTTTATGGGCCGCGTCTGCCGGGAGCTCGGTAGACTAGGATGGCCCCGTCTCGGCGGATGCGGTACCCGGGGCGGGGCGGGTGAGTTGTACGGCCGGTGAAGACCCGGACCCGGGACAGGCTTTATCTCTTTCCTCTGCGGCGGCGTTTGTGCCTGTCTGAGCTGTTCGTGCTGCTTCGCGAGGCCCCCTGGCTCTGCCGCCGCGGTACTCGCTCAGGCCTCGGTTTCCACCTGTAAAATGGGAATGATAATACCGACTACGCGGGGTTGCCGCAAGACAGAGGAGTTAACCGCTGAACACTGTGCCTGGAGGGTGCAGAAGGACGTTTGCTAATGTTAGCTTTGCGTGGGTGGGTGTAGTCTAAAGTAGACTCAAAATATTTTGAAACAAAATACCCAACAATAGCTCGCCGAGTGCCAACTGCTTGCCAGACTTTACATTCTAGAAACGTTTGCACTGTGGCTGGTCAGTAAGTCAGTATCTTCTTTTCAAGACCCTGGTGGTTTTATAAGAGACCTTAAAAGCTGAACATCATCTCCAGCTGGGGGACCAAGCTGCTGCTTGTTATTTTTAAAAGGGCACTGCAAAATGGGTCAAGCAGTTGGTTTTTGTTTGTTTCTCAAAAAGGGCGTGCATTTAAATACAGGCTGCCAAACCACTCCAAAATATTATTTTTTAGTGGGTGCTTTGACAACTATCTGGCTGGCTGTGTCTTGAGAGCATCCAAAGGCCCGGAGTGTCCCTGGCTAAAGGGGTCTCGGCTTGCTGCAGTGGGTACACAAGGTCCTACATACGGGCAGGAGGTCCTGGGTGGTGGGAGGACTGCCTGGAGAAGGTGGCATTTGTAGACACCAGCTGACTGTGGAAGGTGAGCAGGACAGCAGGCAGGTGGCATAAACTGGGATTAAACTCCTGCAGCTGGGGAAGAACAGAAGACTCTCCCAGTAGAGGGGAGGATCGGGAAAGAATTTGGGCCTTAACATCACCTGAGGAAAGTTAAACTCATTCTGATAGGCCAGGTAGTTTTTGTCCCCCCCCCCCTTCCCTTCCTCTCTGTGTGTGTGTGTGTGTGTGTGTGTGTGTGTGTGTGTGTGAGAGAGACTCCTGAAATCCACCAAAAATCTTACATATGGTATCACAGACATTTCCGTCTTTGGGAAACCTCACCTTGCTCCTACCCTAAGGTAAGGAGGAAACCTGACTTTTTCTGAAGCATGGAGGAGGCAGGAGCCAGTGGAGAGGAGATAAGAAGTTAGGCGATCTGGGTTTTAGTCCTATTTCTGTTACTTGGTTGTATGAGCATTGATAAGTCACTTTTCTGAATCCTAGAATCATAGATGCCATAAAATAAATACCTGTTCTACCTTCTTCTGGAGCTGAAAATCCAGTAAAGTAGAGGTTCTTAAAGTGTGGTTTCTTGCATTTGTTAGAAGTGCAGACTCTCAGATCCCATCCCGGGCTTGCGGAATCAAAAACTCTGGGGTTGGGGCCAAGCAGTCTGTTCGAAGCCCTCTAGGTGATTCTGTTGCTGGGAAGTTTGAGAACCGCGGCTTTAAGGAGTTCAGCCCTTTTGTTTGTGATTCACAGTCATGATCTTTTACATCACTGTACATAAATGTGCTCTCCACACATGCAGAACAACAGTTTATGAAAATACAATCCCCAATGTAATCTTATATTTTATATTTTTTTATTTCCTTTTTGAAAATGCAGAAAAAAATTTTGAAGGACATGATGGGGCAATGGATGACATTTGGAGAGAGACTGTAGATTGTATAATCATATCAGTGTTTCTTTTCTTAATTTGGAAATTGTACTGTGAGGATGCAATAGAACACTCTCTTAGAGACACACTGAATTATTTGGGGGTAAAGGTGCATGGTGTCTCGAGTTTACATATACACACACAGAAAGCATAGGAGACAGAATGTAAACCATTGGTGAACCTGGGTGAAGGACAGGAATGTTCTTTTTTTTGTTTTTTTTAAAGATTTTATTCATTTATTTGACAGAGAGAGATCACAAGCAGGCAGAGAGGCAGGCAGAGAGAGAGGAGGAAGCAGGCTCCCTGCCGAGCAGAGAGCCCGATGCGGGGCTCGATCCCAGGACCCTGAGATCATGACCTGAGCCGAAGGCAGCGGCCTAACCCACTGAGCCACCCAGGCGCCCCTAGGAATGTTCTTATACTTGTGATTTTTCTATAAGTTCGAAATTATATCACATACAACAGTACTCAAATACGGATTCAGACACACTAAGCTGATTTTGTGACCCACAGACGGGTGTCTGCGTGGCATGTTGTAAAGTAAGAGACTGGGTATGGAATTTTCCAGAGCATCCCCGTTGCCCTACTACAGTGCCTGGTGTGCACAGGATACTCGATACCCATTCACTGGCGGCGGTATTTCCCATGACTCTTATTTCCAGTTCGTATTTTAGTCCCTGTTTTTCCATCTTGTTTACTTTAAGCTTGAAGATCTACAGCTTTATCCTTTTATGCTAAGGCCCAGTGGAGGGGCCTGAGGCAGTGGGAAGAGGGAAGCTGAATTTGAACCGATGCACGTTTTAATGCCGGCTTCTCCTCCTTGGCCCTGTGCTGCTTTGGGCAAATCTACATCTGCAATATAGGATTCACTTCTGCTTTATAGGACTGTTAGAGCCAAATGAGAAAATAGACACCCAAGAGCCAGACGAGGGGTGGAACGGGTGTCAGGTGCTTCGTAAATGCTGCTGGGCCTCCCTTTTTAGTTCTTCAGAAATGGTCGGTCCCTGCTATTGACTTCCTCAGGGGCAAGGATAGCTGCAGGATGGAGAATGTCTGCGTCCCTGAGGCAGACAGGTGTGCGACTTTCTATACCAGTGATAGGATTTGACCTGTAAAAAAGTACCTGTGAGATACGGGTTCTGTTTTCTGGAAGGATTTGGCCATAACCTGACTTTCACTGGGTATGCACTATTTGTGCAACTAGCGAGAAATGTAATTTGGGGAGAAGAAATGCTTAGAAAGGGTTGCAAGTTAGGGTGCTTCCCAGTTATTTTAAATATTTCCTATTTGTGTTTTTGCTGTTTAATAGTGTGAGATCTTCAAAGAACACTGTAGGAAGAACGCGTTCTGCAAAAGATGTAAGTTATTTTCGTATTTTAATGTGATTCTCTTATAATCGATGATATGAAATAACATGTTTCGTGGGAAGCTTTGAATCTTCTAGATTTCACTGGGTAAACTCAGTTTTATTGTGATAAAAAGCATATTCCTTTTCCTCCCACCTTTACCAGTATACTGGAAGAAATAACCACTGTTAACATTTTGAATCTTTTTTTCTGAGCCTTGTTTTTTTTGTTTTTGTTTTTGTTTTTTTCCAATTTGGATAATTAATACCCTACAAAAATGTGTTCAACTGTCTGTATTTTGCTTTTTTCACTCAATCACTTCTGCATTTGTTTCCCACAATTGTTTGTGATTTCATGCTGTTGATTTAGTTCATATTATAGTTTCTCTTTAGGGTCTTAAAATAAATGTATGTTAAAAGCGGGTATGTTTCTTCAGCACTCTGCAAAGCTCATTTCATATTATTTTCCAATGGCTCATCTACTTGGCAGTGGAAACCCACATCAACGACATTGAGAGTGGCTGCTTTCAGGGTCCAGGGAGCTGGGGGCTTGTCTGCTCTCTGGCCTGCTCTCCTGTCTTTTTTTTTTTTTTAAGATTTTATTTATTTATTTGACACACACAGAGAGAGATCACAAGTAGTCAGAGAAGCAGGCAGAGAGAGAGGGGGAAGCAGGCTCCCCGCTAAGCAGAGAGCCCCATGTGGGGCTCGATCCCAGGACCCTGACCTGAGCCGAAGGCAGAGGCTTTAACCCACTGAGCCATCCAGGTGCCCCTGTTTGAGCTCTCTCTCCACCTGCTGCCCTAGCCCCAGCCTCTAGGGGGTGGCTCTCATCTGACCTCTGTCTTCCTTCGAAGACAGCTGTGTGCCGGAGGCCAGTTTGCTGCAGGGAGGAGGGAAGGTCTGTAAGTGGGAACGTTGTGTTTGTAGTTGTTGTTGTTTGGTCAGTTTATTCCATCTTTCTGTCTTCCAGAATTTTCTTATGCTTTCTCATCTGTTAATGGCACCTTCCACATTTTCCAGAGTTGAGATGGAAGTTTTTCTCGTTTTCTGTATGTTTTGACCCATTCATGAGGATTTGGGATAGCAAATTTTGTGGGGCTTGTTAGTATATTGAACCATAAACCCTTGTCTCTCTCCTTTGGTTGGCAGTTTCCAGCCCTGTGGGTCCTTGTGAACTCTCAGGTATATGGGCATATTTCTGGAGCGGGGGCCCAGAGCTCTGCCGAGATCCAGAGTCGGCAAACTGTGGCCCATGGGCCAAATCTTGCCTGCTCCCTGTTTTTTGGACAGCTCTGTGAGCTGAGAATGATCTTTTTATTTTTAAATGGTTGAAATAAAATCAGAAGAAGAACATCTCGTGATAGGGGAAAATGACGTGAATTTCAAATTTCTGTATTCATAAATAAAGTTACTGCGACACAGCCCTGCTTATTATCTCTGCATCGTCGCCGTCTGCTTTCAGACCGCAGCGGCAGGGCTGGGTAGTTGCAACAGGTGCAGAGCCTAATATATTTACTGTCTGGTCCCTTACAGAAAAGTTTGCCCACCCTTGCCCTGGTTTGTCAAAGGGGTCTGTGTGTCTCCCCGCAACAGGTGTTAAGGGTCACTTCATTCAGATAATTCAGAATTATCCTCGCTAGATAAATCAGCTTGAAATGGTCCGGTTAGAGCCCATTCAATGACTTTGCTTTGTCTACTTTTAGAAAGCTGGCCCAACGCAGAAGCCCACTGATGTGTTTGATTTCCCCGATAATTCTGTTATTTCCAGCATTGACAGGCTGGGTGAAAATGAGAAAGATGAAGAACCTTACGAAATCTTTGGTCAGTATTTTAAGTCTTTATCCTAAAGTTTTATGAAGTAGTTTATCCTCAAACCTTTAGGCCAGTTACTGGTAAAAACATGGGAATATCTTCAGATATAAAAATCAGCTGTCTGCCTGTGACTGTAGTGTTGGGGGGAGTACTTGATAATTTGAGTTAGTTTTCCTCACTTCTAGGTATGTTGGGACTACGAACTCTGTTAAACATTTATCAGGATGGAACTCTTCTGGTAGCATTCGTCAAGCCAGTTCTGTTGGGACACCCATCATAGCATTCTGTAACAAGGAGAATGTGAACTGTGTTTCTTACTCCATACCACCAACAGAGTCATTCAGTAAGGGGCCTGAATTTAGGGAGGAGAAGAGGGGTAATTTTCCCTTTTCCTTGATACACTGAGGCAGAAGTTTCCTTCAGGAGAGCGAGGGGAGAGCTTTGCCTGTGTTCCCTGGAGTGTGAGGAGAACAGGACTGTACTGGGTTGACCAGGAGTACGTGAGTTGTCCAGCTGGGACTGCTTCTGGCTGTACGCTCTGTGGCCGCTCCACAGGCCAAAACATGGCAGAAAGTGCCAGGTGCCCCCACACTGAGATCAGCAGTGATCAGACATTGTTGCTGGAAAAAATCTTAAGGGCATTTTGAAAACCTGTACTCTGACATATTTTTCATTTGGTCTCTCATATCTTCTAGTCTGTTCTTTTGTTAATAAAAGAATAGTGTACGTTTTATAAGCATTGTCAGAATACATCTTTTGTTATGGCTTGAAGTGTTTTAATTAAGGAAATTGAAATGTAAAATATCTGAATCCAAAAGAAACCACACAATTTTTTTATTTTTCATTTTTATTATTTTTTAGAGAGGGGGGCGTGGGGAAAGGGCAGAGGGAGAAGGAGAGAGAGAATCTTAAGCAGGCTCCAGCCCAGCACAGAGCTTGATCTCACCACTCTGAGATCTTGACCTGAGCAAAAATCACAAGCCAGATGCTTAACTGACTAAGCCCCCTGGGGCACCCTCACAGAATTTTTTAAAATTGAGATGTAATTCACTTACCCAAATTCCCCATTTTCAAGTACAATTCAGTGGGATTCTTGGTGTAGTTACAGAATTGTACAACCAGCGCCCCTATGTATTCCAGAACCTTTAATCACCCCAGCAGGAAACTGTACCCATTTGCAGTCCCTCCCCACCCCTCCTTCCCCCAGCCCCTGGCAACCCTCCACCTCCTTCCTGGCTGTGGGTGTGCCTCCTCCTGTAAACAGGGTCATACCCTGTTCATTTGTGACTGGCTTCCTTCATTCTGCCTAGTATTTTCAGGGTCCATATGTCCTGTAGTAAGAATCAATACTTTGTTCCTTTTTAAAAACATTTTCGTTCAATAATCCATTGCTTCGATACTCCTCACTTTGTTCTCCATTCGTCACTGTACACCTGGCTTGTTTCCCCTGTGGGGCCACGAGTTATCCTGCCATGAACATTCATGCGCAAGCTTGTGCACGGGCCTGTGTTTCCCTTTCTTCCGACTTTCCGATTCTGGCCATGACTGTCCAGTGCTGTCTCACTGTGTTTTTGTGGTAACCTATACAGACCATAAAACTGACGGTTTTCACCATTTTTAAGAGTATGGTTCTGTGGCATCAGCGCTGTCCTCACCGTCCACCTCCAGAACCTTCCCACTTCCCCCTGAGGGTCCGTGCCCGCTGGACCAGCAGCTCCTGACTGTCGACGCCTCCCAGCCCAGTTTGTCGTTTCTAGAAATTTGACTACTCTAGATACTTCCTATGAGAGGATTTCTACAGTATTTTCCCTTTCATTCCTTTTTTTTCCCCCCTCCATTTAACAGTATGTCTTCAAGGCCCACCTGTGTTGTAGCTTGAGTCTGAATCTTTTTTTTTTAAATATATTTTTTAAAGATTTTACTTATTTTTTTGACAGAGATCACAAGCAGGCAGAGAGTCAGGCAGAGAGAGAGGAGGAAGCAGGCTTCCTGCTGAGCAGAGAGCCCAATGTGGGGCTCGATCCCAGGACGCTGGGATCATGACCTGGGCCGAAGGCAGAGGCTTAACCCATTGAGCCACCCAGGCGTCCCTTGAATTTCCTTTTGAAAACCGAATCCTGTTCCATCCTCTGTGTACCGCCATTCGGCTGTCTGTGGACACTAGGGTTGCTTTTATGTTGTGATGACTGTGAATCAAACCTCTGTTAGAGTCCCTGCTTTCACTTCTTTGGAGTGTAGATGCAGAAGTAGGGTTGCCAGATACTGTGGTCACTTTTTTGAGGCCTCGCTCTGCCATCTTCATGGAGGCTGCAGCATCCACATTACACTAACGCAGCGGTCCACCAGGGTCCCGGTTTCCCCACGGCCTCACTTGGGTTTCGTTTTGACGGTGGGCGTGAAAGGGTCCCCTCGCGGTGGTTTTGAATTGTGTCTCCCCATTGGCTAATGATCTGGAACACCCTTTTTCGTGCTTGTTGGCCATTGGTGTGTCTCTTTTAAGAGCTGTCTCTTCAGATCACTTATCCATTTTTATTTTTGTTTTATTTTTGTTTTTAAAGATTTTATTTATTTATTTGACAGAGAGATCACAAGTAGGTGGTGGGGGGGAGGGAAGCAGGCTCCCCGCTGAGCAGGGAGCCTGATGTGGGGCTTGATCCCAGGACGCTAGGATCAGGACCTGAGCCGAAGGCAGAGGCTTAACCCACCTAGCTACCCAGGCACCCCCATTTATCCATTTTTAAGCTGGATTATTTATCTTATTAAAATTGGGTTCTCTTTCTCTGTATATGAGAGTCCAGCATGGATGACTGGCTGCATATGGAGATTTAGGATTGGTTTATTTCTTTTTTATTCTTTGTTATTTGCAGCATCAGCAAATCCCTTTGTCTGGCTGAGGGCAGCGCAGAGCCTATCCCTACCTTTAAAATCATGCATTGATAGTGTTCCTCGCTTAAGCAGCTGTTTGGTGAGACACCTGTCTAAAGTCTACACCGTGAGCTAAGATTTGAGCATGAAGCAGTGGTCGCTTGGCTCTTACCAGGCACCCTGCAGCTACCCCTGGCCACCTCCCTCCCTCCCCCAAGCTCCACCTGCCTGAGGAGGGAAGAATGTCCTCCTTTACTCTGAGCCATTTTCTGTGCCTTTCCAGCGTGGTGTCTCACGTAGAGCCCTCACGCTTCTCCCAGTGAGGACAGAGGACACCAGGCTTCCCACTCACATTTCTTTCAGCTCACTGAGAAACTCCCACAGAGCGTGTCAATACAGTAACACAGGTGAACACTGATAAACGTCCACGTGTTTACTAGGGAAACCGTTTAAATTGCTTAGCGTTGAGGTGCGAGCTCAAAGACCTTTGGGGAGTTAGTCGCCTGTGCGGTGGGAACCGTTCACACTGAGGTTTGGAACAATGAGAAACGCTGCTCAAGTTGCCAGACTTTTAAAGTTGTGCTTTAAAAAAAAAAAAAATCTCTTGTAGACCCTCCTCTACACAGCACCGCGATATATGCTGATGAAGACGAATTCTCCAAGCACTGCGGGTCCTCCGTGCCCTCGACTCCGCAAGGAAAAGAGGCAGAGAAAAGGTACGATTCTGTTTCAAGTGCTCGTGGAGCCGTGGTCAGTGGGATCTCCCTGAGAAGCTCTGAGACAGGCGCTTACAATGACTACAGCTTTTCGAAGATCTCTGGAGCCAACTTGGGTTTTTCCTCCAGAGAACCGGTGCCCAAAAACTTGTTCTCAGAAATTAACGTGACTTGTAGTAACTAACTGTAGGCACGTATTTCCGGTCACAGGAAACAGGCCTAGGGATGTAGTTACAGCAGGGGGACTACAGCTAATACCTTGTACATTGGAAAGTTGCCAGGAGAGTAGATCTTAGCAGTTCTCGTCACAAGAAAAACAAATTTTGTAGCTCTCTGTGGTGACAGATGTTAACTAGAGTTACTGAGGAGAACATTTTGCTGTGTATACAAGTAGCAAAGCATCGTGTTGTACACCTGAAGCTAATATGTCAACGATACCTCAATTTTTTTTTTTTTAAGATTTTATTTATTTATTTGACAGACAGAGATCACAGGCAGGCAGAGAGAGAGAGGGAAGCAGGCTCCCTGCTGAGCAGAGAGCCCAATACGGGGGTCAGTCCCAGGACCCTGGGATCATGACCCGAGCCGAAGGCAGAGGCTTTAACCCACGAGCCACCCAGGCACTCCTAAAAGTCGGACTTATTCTAAAGAGCCCCAGAGTAATTATAATGGACACTGGACTATCCTACAGAACATGCTTGTGAAGGGGGTTTTAGCTTTGAGGTAAAACAAGGAGGGAGGGGGAAGCCTTTTTTACTTTTTACTTTTTAAGTTTTTATTTTAGTTCCAGTCGCCAAGTTCTCCTCACAGGTGGGGCACTGCTAATCCCATCACCCATTTCACCCATTCCGGCACCCTGCTCCCCTCTGGTCACCGTCAGTTTGTGCTCTGTAGTTAAGAGTCTGTTTCTTGGTTTGCCTCCCACTCCTTTTTTCCCCTTCGCTCCTTTGTTTCTTAAATTCCGCACGTGGGTGAAATCAGATGGCGTTTGTCTTTCTGTGACTGGCTTCACTCAGTACGATACTCTCCAACGATACTCTCCAGCTCCATCCACGTCATTGCAAATGGCAAGATTTTGGTTTTCTGATGGCTGAGTAACATACACTGTATGTGTATCCCCCTTGATGCATTCACCAGTCGACGGCCCTTGGGCTGTTTCCACAGTTTAGCTATTGTAAATAACGCTGCTATAAGCATCAGGATGCATGTATCCCTTTGAATCAGTGTTTTTGTATTTTGGGGGTCAATACCCAGTAGTGCAGTTTGCTGTTTAATTTTGGGGGGAACCTCCATACTGTTCTGCACAGTGGCTGCATCTGTATTCCCACCAACGGGGCACGAGGCCCTTTCTCCACAGCCTTGCCAACACCTGTTGTTTCTTACAGCCTTGATTTTAGCTGTTCTGACCCTAGGTGTAAGGTGATAGCTCACTGAGTTTTGATTTGCATGTCTCTGATGGTGAGTGATTTTATTTATTTATTTGACAGACAGAGATCACAAGCAGGCAGAGCAGCAGGCAGAGAGAGGGGAGGAAGCAGGTTCCCCACAGAGCAGAGAGTCCGATGCGGGGCTCCATCCCAGGATCCCGGGATCATGACCTGAGCCGAAGGCAGACGCTTAACCCACTGAGCCACCCAGGCGCCCCTTGCGTACTTAGGATACTAACCCTTTATCATTTGCAAATATCTTCTCCCGTTCAGTAGGTTGTCTTTTAGTTTGATTATTTCCTTCGCTGTGCGGGAGCTTTTTGTCTTGGTGAAGTCCCAGTAGTTTATTTTTGCTTTTGTTTCCCTCGCCTCAGGAGAAGTAGCTAATAAGAAGTTGCTACTGCCGATGTCGAAGAGGTTACCGCCTGTGTTCTCCTCTAGGCTTTCTATGGTTTTAGGTCTCACAGTTAGGTCTTTCATTCATTTATATGGACACGAAGGGGAGTCAGGGCATCAGGGACGCGCTGGGGAGAGGGTGGTGGTTAGCAGGACTCTTGGAGGCATCAACCTCTAGGCCCCAGATCCTCACCAAGGACGTTTGGGTCTTTGCTCCTTGATCTCCTTTTCCCTCACCTCTTTGTGTACACCGGTGAGGCTGCTCTCTGCTCTCTCCTCTCCACCCGCCCGCAGTGTTACTCTCCTGGTTTTAGCTACCCAGATGCCACTGCGCTCCTTGTCTGTCTTGCCCAGCCTTTCTCTGGGGCCTGCCATGTCCTGCAGATTGGTCATATGTCCCTAGATGCCCACGGGCACCTCGGATTCAGCAACAGCAAAGCCAAGCTCAGTCCTTTCCTCTCTCATCCAGTGTCAGCAAGCTCCTTTGACATTCTCTAGATTAATGGTCCTGCTGTCACCTTAGAGTCATTCCCAGCAGCCTCTGTTCTCTGACCAGTCTTATTTGTTCTCTCCATACCCCAGCCATGGCCTAGGCACTTGGCTCCTCTCACCAGCGTCCCTTGCCTGCTCTCCCTTGTCTCCAGAACTGCTCTCTCCCCTCCAGGCCACCCGCCCCACAGCTTCCAGTGCCATCTTTCTGAACTGCCAGTCTTCTCTCCCTGGTATGCCTGCTGGCTCCAGGGGCCCCCCCATGTTCTGTCTGCCTGGCGTGGAAGTTGGCATTAAATGAATGTTGAACTCTCATCTTTCTTTGGAAATTTAGGGTTTTGTTTTGTTTTGTTTTGTTTTCCTTCTCAAAGGGAAAAAGAAGGTCTTCCCTTTTATATCCCCTATGATGGTCCTGGTGTCTGTGGACTTAGCTTTCAGTTCATCAGATGATGGCCCATACAGTTACCCGGGAGTGGGAACACAGGGAAAGTGCAGTTCTGGGGCATGACCACAAGGTGGTGCAGTAATGGCACTGTCTTGCCCACCAAGAATAAACTTAGGGGGCCTGGGCGTGGGATGGTGTGGGAGATGACCCATAAATCCCGAAGGTGGCAGACCCGCCCAGGACAAGCGGAAATCTCCTCGTGGAACTGAGCTTGTTTTAATATTGGACGAGCACCTTCTACAAGACATGTGAAAAAAAAAAGTATAAGATACTACTGATGTTTTGTTCTTTGGTACAGGTCAGACACTTACGAAATTGAAGCAGGTGAAAACATGTCTACAGAGATGAGGGAAAAAAAGGTATGTAGGAGTGTTCTCTTATCTTGCAGCAGATTTCCTATTTCGATAGGATGCAAACAGAGAAAATGTGCTATAACCATATTTTACATACAGAATGTTACATTTCAGAAGATACTTTTACTGTAAAAAGGGAATATATTTTCATATCTTAGGTACTTTTATTTATAGAGGGCTCGAATGTCTCTGTCCCTAGTTGATTTTCATAGTGTTCATGTCATCTGTTTAGGTCACGATCCACAAAGGCCATGTGAATTGTGGGGAGTGTTTATTTGGACTCTTGGGTCTGGGTCATCCGCACCGTTCCCTGCCCCTAGCAAACTACCCGGTAATCCTGTTGCCACCTTCCTATTCGAGCTGGAAGGTGGCGAATGAGCAATGTGGACTTGACCAGGGCTGTCCACTATTGCAGTAAGGAGGATAAAGCATTTGTATTTTCTAAGCCAGTAATGCTGCTTTCTCGCCATAGCCAGGAAGGAGAGTCAGGCCCATTAGCGATGACTCTGAAAGCACTGAAGAAGAGGATATAAGAAGGAAAGTTCAACCAGCAGAGAAAATAAGGACACAACCAGATACACCCCATATATCCTCGGAGCTTCCAGAGAAACCGGCTGAGTCGGTCACTCCTAAAAACATCAGACCCCTTAGCGCCAAGTCCACTGTTGAAAAAGAGCCCGAGACAGAACCACATAATTTGGTAAGAGCGTGTCTGCCATCGCCCTAGAGGGAAGAGGAGGGTTGACAGAAAAATGTTTAGGAGGAAAACAGCATTTCCTCTCTTTTCCTTTGTTTCTTTAAAAAGATAAGTTTTATGTTTTTGTTATAAAAAATATTTGAGAACATTCAGAAGGTATGGAAAGGAAGATAAAATCACCTACAATCCTGTCTCCTGAAAGGAGCCACCCTGCTCCTTGGTCCAGGCTCCTTAGCACCTTTCCTGCACTTTCCTCACCCCCGGGTGACCAGCCCGGGCACCTGTGTTCTAGGCTGTGGTCTTAGCGCTCGCCATTTCGTTCATGAGTGTGCCGTAGTTAATCTCTTACTAATGAATGGTTGCAATTCAAAAAACATTTTAAGCGCTTTCATGAATTTCTTTCTAGCTAAATCTTAGTATACGCCCTCCATCATTTCCTTAGGAAAAAAGTGGCTAAGATAAGATGTCTGGGTCATTATCACTCTGTTTTAAATTCTTGACATTTAGTATCTTTTGGTCAAGTTCTCAATATGTCCTTTTATTCATTTGCTTTAATGTTTTGAATAATTCATCCTCCTGTTGAAAAAAAATTTTTTTTTAAAGATTTTATTTATTTATTTGACAGAGATCACAAGTAGGCAGAGAGGCAGGCAGAGAGAGGGGGGAGGAAGCAGGCTCCCTGCTGAACAGAGAGCCCAATGCGGGGCTCGATCCCAGGACCCTGAGATCATGACCTGAGCCGAAGGAAGAGGCTTTAACCCACTGAGCCACCCAGGCACCCCTCAGGGTAGTGTTTCTCAATCCTGTTGAATTACAGTGCTGCCTAAAAAGCCTTTTTAGTTTATTTTTTTTTTTTTTTAATTTTTATTTATTTGAGAGAGTACAAGCCAGAGGATGGGGGGAAGCAGAGGGAGAAGCAGACTCCTCGCTGAGCAGGGAGCCTGATGCAGGACTGGATCCCAGGACCCCAGGATCATGACCTGAGCCCAAGGCAGATGCCTAACCAACTGAGCCACCCAGGTGTCTGCAAGGCAACCATAGTTAAAAGCCAACTGGAAGCTTTATTTACTTTTTGAGACCATTTAATTTTTCAGTGTCTCTCTGTATCAGATTGTATACATAATAATTTAGAACTAAATGAGGAGGGTTGCTGGGGGGTTGCATGGGAGGGATGGGGTGGCTGGGTGATGGACACTGGGGAGGGTATGTGCTATGGTGAGTGCTGTGAAATGTGTACGTCTGATGATTCACAGACCTGTACCCCGGGGCAAGTAATACATTATATGTTAATAAAAAAATAATTTAGAACTAAATGAGAGTAACAGCTAGAATTAAGTGTTTGATAATACTGTGCTTTAAGAGAAGGAAAATTTTTCTTAAATAAACATCTTTGCAATTTTTTTTTTTTTTTTGTAGAAAACTCAGAAAAAGGTGTTTTGTGGCAGAAGGAAGAAATCAAGAAGTGAAGCCAGAGACTCAGGTACAGAATAGTGTTTTATACCTTATCAAGCATGCAAGAATTTTAAAAACTTTGTTTTTGTTAAAGTAGTAAATTGTAAGTATATAAAATTGCACTTTAAAAAGCTAAAAATATATGTATTTGTAGTAACTGATTTTTTTCCAACATCTGTCATGAAAATTTTCAACCAACAACAAAGTTGAAGGACTCTTACAATATGTATTTAGAGTGTTTAGATTTTACTGTTACACCTGCTTTATCACCTTAATTTTTCATCACAGTGTTGAAACCATGCTGAACACATAACGTGGTTTCACCCTTCTGAATAAGGTTCTTTTTCCTTTTTTCACTTGGCGTAACTTCTTTGAGATTCATCTGCATTGTTCTGCATTTTTATTGATACAAGTAAACATTTATTGAAAAATGGGAGGAAAATAAAGCATTTTCTCTCCTTTGTTTCTTTTAAAAGATAAGTCATATATGTTTAGAAAATTTGGAAAGTGTAGAAAGGAAGATAAAATCACCTACAATCCCATCATCCAAAAAGAGCCCCCCTGCTTTTTGGTGTATACTCTTCAATCCTTCAATCCTTTTACCCACCCCAGATGGGATCTTATTCTTATCCCAGATGGGATCATATCTTATCATTAAGTATTGTACAACCCAGTTTTACTGGGTGCTTGACCTCTCGCCCACATTACTAAAACCAGATCAGCACACTGAGGAATCTGTGTGTTCCAGAAGTGATTAGGTAGATTAAAATTACGAAACTGTAATTAACAAAGAAGAGCTCTGTGACCAGTGGTGTTGGGTGGCAGCGGACCAAGTAAAGGTAGAGCTGGGAGTTCTGAGTCAGCAGTGCGTTAGGCTCTTTTGGTAGAAATGGGAGAACCAAGGAGAGGGCAGTTAGTGACCTCGGAGAGGCCATATTTGAGCTTGCACTGGCTTAGGAAGTGAGTCGGCTCCTCCCACGTGCCTCTCCAACCATAGCTCTTTTTGGCAATTTGGTGGGACAATTCTTGTAGGCTTTCAGAACCCTGGGCCTAGAGCCACAATATGTTCAGTATGTTAAATGGACTTCTCTTAATATTCCAGATCGTTCTGACTCTGAACCTATTTGGTGTCTGAAAGGAAAGAAAGCCAGTGACATCTCGGAGTTAGATGTTGTTTTGTCTGCCTTTGAGAAGACCATCCTGGAGTATGAGTAAGTCTTCCGATGTGATATACGTGCCCAGTGAACGTTCCTTGAAGCATCACTTAGCTCATCCCATGGCTTCTGATGTGTTTTCATCACCTAGTTGATGAATTTTTACATTTCCATTATAATTTTTTCTTTACTCCTGTGAATTATTTAGTAGTATGTTTTGGTATATCCAAATATGTGACTTCTTAATTTATATTTTTATATTAACCTTGTGTCGTAAAACATGTCGTGATCAAATTTGAGAGACTGGTGATATTTTTTTGTAAATTTGAGGCTTTCTTTATGGCCTAGCACATAATCCGTGGGGAATCTAATTATTAGATCTATGTCGAATTGGTATTGTTTTTCCTGATTCTTTTATCAGTTTATGCTGAATATATTTAGAGACTATTCTGTTAGGACATCACATTTAAAATTGCTCTGTCTTGTAGTCTGAACATTTTATCCTTTGGTAGTACCCTCTCCATTCCTAAAAATGCTTTTTTTGGTCTTAAAATCTGTTTTATCTGATACCAGTATTGTGTCACTAGATTTCTTTTGCTAAGATTTCTAGAACTTACATTCTTTTTACTTCCTTTTATTTCCAGCCTTTTTCTGACCTTAAAACTTTTTAAAATAAGAAATAGTAAAGTTTAGGGGTATCTGGGTGGCTCAGTCAGTTAAGTGTCTGCTTTTGGCTCAGGTCATGATCTCAGGGTCCTTGGGCTCCCTGCTCAGTGGGGAACCTGCTGCTTCTCTCCCTCTGCCCCTTCCCCACTGCTCCTTCTCTCTTTCACCCGTGCACTTGCGTGCACTCTCTCGCAAATGAATCTTTTAAAAAATTAGTAAAGTTTAAATCCAGTGTGTCCCATCTTTCTTGACTTCAATCCATTTACATATAATTATCAATATATTTGGAAGAATGTGTTGATATATTGTTTTTACTTTAGTTTTTTTGGTTCTCCTTTGATGTTTTTAGTTATAACTTTTTAAAAAAAACAGAATTTGTAACTCTCCACTAGTAAGATTAGAACTCTGGCAAGCTCTTGGTCACCTCTCCCATTCCCCTACCCCAGAGATTTTAAATTCTGGGGTAAGATACATTGTTTTCTCTTCTCTCTTTTTAAGACAGCAGCAAACCTTATTAAGGTATTTATTTGCTCACCTTTATTTCATACATTTCTTATGACAACCTTTGGTAATGTCTCTTTTCTTATTTAAGTATTTATCCCAACACTTTTGAGTATGGCTCTTTGTGCTGTAAAATTTCTAAACCCTTTGGATTATTTTGGTCATGACATTGAATTTGAAGGACAGTTTAGCTGAATATAGTATTCTAGGTTCCAAATCATTTCCTTAAATACTTTCAAGTCACTATTCCTTTGTCTTCTTTTGCATCTAGTGCTGATTTGGAAAATTTGGTGTTTGTCAGTCTGGTTTATATGTGATCTGCTATTTCTCTCTAAGCTTTTAGAATATTTTGTGTGTGATATTCTTTAATTTCACTCTGTTGGGTCTCACTTTTCCAGTCTAAGGTGGTTCTTTTTTACTCCAAAATTAAAAATCGTTTTTGTTCTCTCTAATGCTATATCCTTGTCCTCTGCTTTGTTTTTCTAGATTTCCTCAGTCTAGAAACAAGAACTTTGCTAACTTGCTATTTCTCTGGTATTTCCAAAATGCCATTTATCCCATCTACCCAGTCCTATAATGTAGCCATATGACTTTCTGTCTAACATTTCTATTTGGTTCCCTTTACGTCATGTTATATGTTGCTATCATCTGTAGAATATTAGGCTAATTTCAAAATACTGGGTCATCTACTTTGAAATACCTGCTGCTCTTAGAATTTCTGATCTAACAATTTGTTTTCTCTTTAATATAATTGTGTTCCTCTGTTGTTACTCTAGCCGGTGAGCTTATGTACCTCCGTCTGTCAGCTTTTCTGTACACAGACAGTGTATATAAGGGAAAATCAAGCCGTGATTCCTGTCCATTCCCAAGAGTGCCAGGGAGGGGGCTGGCTAAGGCCTAGGGAGGAAAGCCTTACTTACCCCACCTGGTAACCTGTCAGGTCCAGGCTTAAGCTTGGCCCTCCAGCTATAAGTAGTGTTAGAAGCTGCTATAATCCTTAGATTATCATTCTCCAGCCCTGAGGGTTTGGCAGGGGAAGGGGGAGGAGACAACCGCACACAGGTAGTCTCCACGTTGCTTTCCAGGCCCTGTAGGTGCAGCCCGGGTTTTACTCTCGAAGGCACAGGCACAGGGACAGGGACAGACATTGGCTGCAGCTCTTCGGCACAGCTTGTGAGAATCATGCTGGGGAAGAAGCAGAGGCCAACCTCGACATCTCCCTTCTGGTCCTGGGCCACAGCCCCTGTCCCTCTCACTGGTTCACCCATTCTAAATACCTCTTCCTCTCACCTCAGGGTTTTTCACAGCTTTCCCCATTTTGAGGGAGTTTTCCCTCTTTGGTTCTTCTGCGGTTGATCTTGGGGAAAGGAGCTAGCCTGTCACGCTAACTTAGCATCTTTATGGGAATTGTCTCTTTTATTCTTCCGTAGTGTATGTGCTCTTCGGTACTGTATGCTCTAAAGCCAGTGTCCGGTTAAAATTGGTACAGGTCTCTTACTAAAGACCATCTCTTGACTGTGTCACTCTTTTCCCACTCATAAATCTCTTCAAAGGAAGAAAAGACTTATAGATTTCTGATATTTTAGCAAAATGGCAATATCTTGCCCTTTAGCATAGTGTTCTTGATGTAAGAAATGATTTAGAAGAGCTGTAGTATTTTTGTTAGCCTTTTTTTTTTTAAATAGGCTCCATGGCCAGTGTGGGACTTGAACTCATGACCCTGAGATCAAGAGTTGCATACACTAGCGACTGAGCCAGCCAGGCACTTCATGTGGACTTTTTTTTTTTCCTTGAGTAACATATAATGTATTATTTGTTTCAGGGGTACAGGTCCGTGATTCATCAGTCTTATACACATACCCTTGTGTTTTTGTCATACTGCATGATTCTGGTAGAATCACCGGTCTTGTTTTATTTTCTTAACCTAAAGTATTCTCAACCACATGAAAAGTTTTATTCAAAATCAAGTTAAATATTTGAGGGTGTACTGTTTTTAATACCCTCTTATCTGGAACTCACACCTGAATAATTTGCTAAGTTTACAGATTGTAAGCAATTTACCAATGTATATATAATTAGGGAAATAGGCCATGAAATGCAGACAGTACAAACATAGGCTATTTTATAACTGATTCAATTAGTTATTTGTAGGGAAGTGACCAGATTTTTAAGGTACTAGAATTTGAAAAAGCTGTGTCTGGCTATCGTATGTAGACCACCACCACCACCATTTCAGTTGGTATAGTCTACTAAATTTATCATCATTGTAAGCCATATGCAGAAAGATCTAACCAGTTTTCCTAATTTTTTATATGTTTTTACCATCTTAAAGTCATGATTTCATATTTATATTAGAAATACCTTTTAAAGGTAGAGCTGATGAACTTTTTAATTGTGAATTTTTACTTTTAAAATTTATTTAAATGTGCATTTATGTACCATAAAATTTACCATCTTAATTAACCGTTTTTAAGTATACAATTCAGTAGTGTTAAGTACTTCGTTTGCTTTCTCAAGATTGTTTTGACTATTTGGTGTCCTTTCAGATTCCATATGAAGTTTAGCATTTTTATTTTCTGTTTCTGCAAAAAAGCCATTGGAAATTTAGTAGTTACTGTATTGAATCTATAGATTGCTTTGGGTAGTATGAACATTTTAATAGTATTAAGGCTTCCAGTCCATGAACATGGGATGTTTTTCCTTTTATTTGTATCCCCAATTTCTTTCAACAATGTTTTTATAGTTTTCAGTGTATAAATGTTTTACTCCTTGGTTAAATTTATTTCTAAATATTTTGTTCTTTTTGATGCTATTGTAAATGGGATTGTTTTCCTAATTACCTTTTTGGATTGTTCATTGTTAGTATATAGAAATGCAACTGTTTTCTGTATGTTCATTTTTGTATCCTGCAATCTTCCTGAATTTGTTTATTCTAACAGTTTTTGTGTGTGTATGTGATCTTCAGGATTTTCTACACATAAAATCATGTCCTCTGTGACCGAGGTAATTTTACCTCTTTTCCAGTTGGATACCATTTAGTTCTTTTTCTTACCTAATTGCTTTCGCTAATATTCCCAGTACTGTGTTGAATAGTAATGGCAAGTGAGGCGTCCCCGCTTTGTTCCTGGTCTGAGGGCAATAGCTTTTAACTTTCACCACTGAGTATGATGTTAGCTATAGCCTTTTCATTTATGGCCTTCATATTGATGTAATTTCCTTCTATTCATAGTTTGTTGAGAGTTTTTATTATGAAAGGGTGTTGGATTTTGTCAGGTGTTTTTTCTCTATCAATTGAGATGCTCATATGGCTTTTGTCCTTCTGTTATTGTATGTTGCATTGATTGTATTTCTTATGTTGAACTATCCTTGCATTCCAGAAATCCACTTCATGATGTATAATCATTTAAATGTGTTGTTGAATTCCCTTTACAAGTATTTTGTTGGGGAGTTTTGCATTAATAAGGATATTGGTCTTTCATTTTTTCTTTTAGGATCTTTGTCTGATTTTGGTATCAGGGTAATGCCAGACTCATAAAATAAGTTTGGAAGTGTTTCCTTCCCCCACTTAAATTTCTTGTAAGAGTTTGAGGGGGATTGTTAATTCTTCTTCAGATATTTGGTAGAATTAATTCTCTAGTGAAGCCACCTGGTTTGGGGGTCGTAGATAGGAGGTTTTTGATTAGTGATCCAGTCTCCTTTACCAGCCATGTTTGAACGTATTTTTTATTTATTCCTGATTCAATCTTAGCAGGTTTTATGTTCTTAGAATTTCTGCATTTCGAGGTTACCCAGTTTGTGGGCTTGTAATGGTTCACAGCAGTCTCTTATGAGGCTTTTTACTTCTGTGGCATCAGGTGTAATGCCTGCTCTTTCATTTTCTGAGTCTTTTTTTTCTTAGTCTATCTAAGGATTGGTCTGTTCTGTTGATCTCTTTGAAAAACTATTAGGTTAATTCTTTTTCCTGTTTTTCATTTTATTTCTGCTCTAATTTTTACTGTTCTTCATTATGCTAGTGCTAACTTTGATCTTCTAGTTCCTTGAGGTGTAAAGTTAGGTTGTTGAAGTATTTCTTTTTAATGTAGGTGTTTATTGGTATCCGCTTCTTCATACTGCTTTTGCTGCATCCCGTAAGTGTTGGTGCATTGTTTTTGTTCTCATTTGTTCCAAGATATTTTCTAATTTCCCTTGTTATTGTTTGAACAGTTGGTAGTTCAAGAATGTATTGTTTAATTTCCACATATTTGTGAGTTTTCCGGGTTTCCTTTTGCTGTTGATTTCTAGTTTTGTTCCACTGTGGTCCCATAAGACACTCAGTATGATTTCAGTTGAATTACATTGGTTAAGACTTATTTTGTCACCTAACATGTGATCTGTCTTGGAGAACGTTCTGTGTGCATGTCAGAAGAATGTGGATTCCGTTATGGGATGGAATGTTCTATGTAGGTGATTTAGATCCGATTGGTTTATAGTTTTGTTCAAATCTCCTGTTTCTTTATTGATCTTCCGTCTGCTTGATGTATTGTTGAGAGTGAAGTATTGAAATCACGTACTATTCCTGTGTTACTGCCTACTTCCCCCTTCAGTTTTGTTAATTCAGAATTGTTGAATTGCTCCAGTGTTGGGTGCACATATAACTTTTACATTTTCCTGGTGAACTGACCCTTTTTTCATTACATAATATTCTTCTTTTGTGACTATTTTTGACTTTGTCTATTTTGTCCAATATAAGTATGGTCACCACTGCTGTCTTTTGGTTACCATTTGATGGAGTATCTTTTTTGCCTTTAGCCTGTGTATTTCTTACCTAACTAAAAAGTGAGTCTCTTGTAGACAGCATGCAGTTGGATCTTTTTTTTTTTTTCTTTTTTAAATCTAGTGATTTCTTTTGGGGAATTCCTGATAATGACAGACTTACTACTGAATTCTATTGTTTTCTCTAAGTCTTATAGTTGTTTGGTTCTTCTTTTCCTCTCTCCTCACCTTCGTGTTGTTTTTTGTTTTTTTTTTGGTAGTGACATGTCTTGATTCACTGTTCTTTTGTGCTTCTGTAGATTTTGTGTATAAATGTGTGTGCTTACATTGGGGGTGACATAAATGATTTTAATAACAGTCTGCTTCAAAATGATAACTTAATCTCAGTCACCTACAAAAGCTCTTTATGTCCCCCTCCCTCGCTATATGGGGATAAATAACACTTTGTTATTGATAGCACAGATTTCACCTTTTTGTTGTTTTACCATTAGACAGTTTCATAGTTTTTTTATGCTTTTATCTTTTAAATTCTCTATCAGTATTAAAAGTGATCTGTGCATCACTATCAGTTTTATGGGGTCTATATCCATCTGTATATTTACCTTTACCAGAGACCTTTATATTTTCATATACTTTTGTGTTACTGTCTCTTGTCCTTTTTTTTTTCAACTTGAAGGACTCCTTTTAGTAATTCTTATAAGGCAGGTCTAGTGATGATGAACCCAGCCTTTGCTTATCTGGGAAAGTCTTTATTTCTCCTTGATTTCTGTAGGATAATTCTGCCAGGTATAGTATTCTTGGATGGCACTTTTTTCTTTCAGTGCTTTGTACACATCATCCCATCCTGTCCTATTATAATGTCTCTGCTGAGAAATCCACTGACAATGTTATGGGAGTTCCTTTGTACATGACAATTTGCTTTTCTCTTGCTACCTTCAGGATTCTGTTTTTGCCTTTGAATTTTGACAGTTTGAGTATCATGTGTGTCAGTGTGGGCCTCTTTGGGTTCCTCTTAGCTGAGGTCTTTTGAGCTTTCTGAATTTGGGTGTACATTTCCATCCTCAGATTTGGGAATTTTGGAGCATTTCTTCAGACATGTTCTCTGCTCTTTTCTGTTCCTCCTTTTCAGGGTTACTTGTAACACACATAATGGTTTATTGAATGATTCCCGTAAATCTCAAAAATTCTCCACTTCATCCTTCTTTTTGTTCTTCTACCTTGATAGTTTCAAATGACTTGATAGTTTTCAAATGCCATTTCTTTCCTCTGCTTGATCAAATCTACTGTGAACCCATCTAGTGACTTTTTCAATTGTCATTGTATTATTCAGCTCCAGAATTTGATTCTTTTTATAAGTTTTCTTTGTTGATATTCTCATTTTGTTTATGCATCATTTTCCTGATATATTTTATTCATGTGTTTTCTTATAGCACAATGAGCTTTATTAAGATTACTATTTTTGAGTTATGAATTTGCTTATGAATGTTATGTATTTGTTATGAATTTGCTAATTCATAGGTTTCCATTTCTTTATTTAAAGTCTATTTCTCAGGATTTTCCCCCCACTTGATTGGTTATGTTTTGTTTCTTCTAGTGCCTTGTTATTTTTGTACATATTTTGTGTTTTGTACATATAAAAAGCAGCCACCCCTCCCAGTCTTTACATACTAGATTTGTACAGGGGAAGGCCTTTGCCAGTCAGCCTGGGTGGTCCCTTAATCCTTTCTGGGGATGTATCTTCTTTGGGCTTGTGCATGCAATTTTCCAACTAGAGAGGTTTGCTTCTTTTTTAGGGATTTGTAATCTCTGAAGACTAGAGCTCCCTCTGGTGTCTCTCTGTGGTACTGTAGGTTCTGTCGTGCTGCAACAAGGAGCTGAGCTCCTTTGTGGTTTCTCTGACCAGAGGCATCCAAACTATTTCAGTTCCCACCACTGCTCTACTTCAGGTGACACAGAAACCATTCCAAATGTTGGATAATCTTCTCTTCTCTTCTCTTTCCCTGCCAAGGGAGAAGGTGTGAGCTGGGCCATTTGTCCTGCTATCCTGTGAGTGGCATTGCTGCTTCTCTTACTACAGCAGCCACTGAGCTCTCTTCTCCATGGCAGCCAGGCATTCCCAAGTATGCTGCTTCCGTTAGCATTCTGGATTGGGAATGACGGAAGGGAGGCCCTTGGGCAGCCCCCTGAAAAGCCAGAACCTTGGACTACATTCTTTTCTTTACCACACACGGAGCTTCTTGATCGAACCAAGCTGTGCTGGCTTGGGAGGTGGGCTGTCCAAGTTGATATGAAGCCACTTTTCTTAGCTGTTTCAGTAGGATTGTTCCTGACTTTGAACTTGCCTGCAACTTGATTGGTTTCTGGGATTCTCACAAGGCCTTTGGGGCTGTGTATAGTTGTTAAATTGGTATCCCTATGTGGGGAATCTGGCCTGGGGCTTTCTATTCCACTATCTTGCTGATGTCACTAGACACACACTTCTAACACTCTTTTTTAATGAGACCTTTTACAAAGATCTGTATTCGTAAGTACAGGCCTTCTCTCGTGTCACGCTTCGCTTAGCCCCCTTCTCCTGAGTATCTTTTCTTTCTCGTGGATCTCCCCCGAGAGAGAAACCATTTTCTAATTACCTGTCATTTACACAGAATATTTATTACTTTCGATTCAAAGGACCCTTTCTTTTACCCTACGGGGCTGAGGCAGAGTAGGGGGTTCGCGGCTGTCCTGGAAGATGGCTGCCACTGCTGCACAGTGGGGATCTGTCATGCAGCCGTGAGCATGCCAGACTGGGAGCCTTGGGCCCTCCTCTGAGGACAGGGACCAGAACCAGTTTGTTAGGGTTAGCTCTGCACGGTTTTGAAGAGCTGGACATTCAGCTGTGTCAGTCCCGCTGGCTTCTCCCTACTTACTTTTTGGGTAGTCCAGATGTGTCACATAATTATCCCTCCAGTTGTTGGCAGGCAGGGAGGGGCTGAAGTCTGCCGCTCGTTAGATCCAGTGCCAGGAAAGGACGGGGACTGGCTGTACACCTTTCTACGTCACTTGCCTTCACCTGTGGACATAGCCAGTATCAGGGAGTGAAGCTAACCACATACTCGAAGGCTTAGGGAAAAATATTTCCTGTTCCTTCTCTTTTGTTGAGGCTGTTTGTAGTGTTTTTTGTTTTTTTTTTTGTTTTTTTGTTTTTTTTTTAAAGATTTTATTTGTTTGAGAGAGACGGCACGAGCTGGGACGGTGGGGGTGTAGAAGGGGCAGAGGGAGAGGGAGTGGTATTACTCTATGCTGAGCAGGGAACCCACCACTGGGCTCGATCCAAAGACCTCAGGATCATGACCTGAGCCTAAGGCAGACACTTAATCGACTTAGCCACCCAGGCACACCTTTAGTTTTTTTTTTTTTTTTAAGCCTGAGAAATATCTCTAGCCACCCCGTTTTAGATCTTCAAAATGGTGTATGTCTAATTGTGGTTTGTTGATGTGCTAAGAAAATGAAACACACCTTTCAAAGTCCTTTATATAATACCTAGTCTGATCTTTTTTTTCCCCTGCTATAGACAAAAAGTAGAATCTAAAATTTTTAAGGAAGCCATCAAAAAATTTCATTCTAATATGAAAGAAGAACTCATCAAAACGGTAAGTTTGTTGACATAAATTTGTCAGTCTCAGTTTGTACGCTCCTCCCGTGGCAGCGGACGGTTATCCTAGAAAAGATCTCATGTGCTGGTGACGTGGTAAAGAGCTCATTAGAACGGTTCCTGTTTCACAGGTTGTTTTTAAACTAAATGTAATAGATCGTAAGTTAATAAACATTTTAATTTTGGAAAATGCACACAAATATTTTTTTCTTTTGTGCAGCTTAAAGAAGTCCAGATGTCAAAAACTCTGAAAAGGAAGAACACGAAGGTAAGTCACGTGTGTCTGATTAGATGCAGAAGTCACGTGGGCCATTGAGCCATGCAGAGCTAAGTAATGCCCTTGACTCTGGCTTTCCGGACCTTTGCTTTGTCGAAGTTTTTTTTTTTTTTTAAGTCAGGCTTTTATCTGGTTGGTCTTGTGGTTGTGTACTATTAATGCACGCAAAGGGATGGGATCCCAACCAGCCTAAGGCAGCTATCAAGGCCCAAATAATGACTTCCACGGTATTAACTGTAATTAATTATTAAGTAATATATATTTATTGCTTTTGTGGCTGTCAAAGAATAAAACCTTTTAGCATAAAGAACTGTTCCAGTCTCAAGTCAAGGGACAGCCTGGGAAGAATACTGTGTTAAGGGTTCAGCGACCTCCTTTCTTGTCCTGGTTTTTCTACTTCAGTGTTGTCCCACCTTCTTAGAAACTCTGTACCACGAGGATATGTGAGGAGAAACAAGTCAGGGAACCCCGGGCCTTACTTGCCCATCGGTGTATGTGTGAACCAGGTGACCTCTGAGCTCCACGCTTACATGAATCCAGGACTGGAAGAGTGGCTCCCCCCTCACATTTATAATAAAAATGGAGTTGAAACGCATATATTTTTGTTTCCACGATTTACAGACCTTTGCTGGGTTTTTCTCCTTCAGTTTCACTGTCCTGCTGCTCAGCTCTGCATTGCTTGCAAGGGGACAGTCGGAGTGTCCAGCCGTGGAACAGTCCCTAAAAGGGGCGGCTGAAATAATAATCTGTAATGTAGAAGTAATCTCTTTAAACCAGATTGGATGAGGGCAGTCTCCTGCATCAGCATTCTCCTGGTGTATCTACGTAAAATCCCAACTCCTTACTGGATGGCTCGTGGGGTCTGAAAGGTCTGGCCCCTGCTTCCCCTTTAGAGTTGTCCTGGAGTAAATGCCCCTGCGGTCTCTTTCCCACTCCATCTGCAACACCTGGTACGGGGTCGCTAGCAGTGCTGGAACATTTAGGGAGTTATTTTAACAAATTATTGTCTTGCTTTAGATTATTTCAGATATTGAAAAGAAAAGGCAGCGTTTGCTTGAGCTCCAGGATGAACTGCTTCGGTAAGATAATGTCTTATCTAAGGTCCTTGAAGAACTTACCTGAAGGGATGTGATTACAGTACAGTGGGGGTGGGGGGGCCCCACTGCTGAGGTCTGTATTGGCCTGCGATCCCAGGTGTTCTTGGTGTCTGGAAGCTCAGTGAAGGTGGTCGTGCTGCGGAGCTGGAGCTTTTGGCAAAAGAGAGTTCGGCACGGATCTCTCCGCGGTCAGATCGGACCCTGGCCCACGAGGCAGCCCAAGTAGAGATTTAGTGTGCAGACTCTGAGACTGGATACCCGGTTCAAACCCAGGCTCGGCTACTTACCGGCTGTGCCCCCTTAGGTCAGGCTGCTGGCCGTCCCAGGGCCTCCGTTCCTTTTCAGTAAAGGAGCATGAGACCCACGCCTCCCGGGGCGCTGGGACGGTTAAATGACTAAACATGCAGAGTGCTTCGCGGGGACTGCCATTCAGCCGGTGCCATGTGTTACCGGTTCTCGTTAATGGGATCGTTGCGTGGTGCTCGTGTGATGTGAACGGGCCCCCGTGTGCGGGGTCTAGGACCCTGGGACCCCGCGGTGGGGTCGCCTGCACGCGGGGCTCAGGAGGCCTTCCGTGCGGCCAGGACGACTGGCTGAAGGGGTCCTAGAGCAGCAGCAGGAGCAGCAGTCAGGTCCGCTCTGTGCTCCGAAGAGTGTTGCAAAACGGTGAGAGAGTGGCATGACCAGAAAAGAACACCTGTCATCCCGGTGCCGAGTCTGAGACGGGAACGCCAGAGAGGTTTGGGAGAGGGTCCAGCGCGTTGGCTTCCCTGTCCCGCCTGGGCCTGGTGCCGGACTGGGGCAAAGTTTCCAGGGGCTCAGGCCTAAAGAAAACCACATTTGAACAAGCTTCCTGGGTGCGCTGGGCACTGGCCTGAAGGCTTCAGATATTTGCTTGTTATCCCCATAATCCTGGGAGATGGGTTATGATGTCTGTTTAATAAGAAAAAGACATTTTAGTTAAAGACCAGCCTCTTGGTTCCTTTTTTAGATATAATTCTAGACATTGAAAAGTATATCTTGAAAAGGCCTAGAAAGAAAAACGCAGTGTCTGGTTATTCTGACTTGACAGGTGGAAAGGCTCTGGCCTGGGGGAGAGGTACCTACCCACAGTCCCACTCGAGGAAGTGGGGGGGCCAGGATCTCATGTCGCAGACTGAATGCCAGCCCTGCGCCTGTGACCACAGCCCTTGTCTTTCCATAATGCTGCATTTGTTCAACAGACACAACTGTTAAAAGGACTCTTCTAAAAATTGTATTGGAGGACAGCTGCTTTTTGTCTTTAAGAGAATAAAAAATTGGTAGCCTATACCTTTTTTTGTCATTAAATTCAAGCCATCCCTTTTTATTTTACAGGTAAGAAACTAAGACACAGAAAGAAAGTAGTTAAAAGTAGTTCACCCGTGCATTTTTCATCCAGGCACTCGGATAATTTTTCCACGGGTTGTACTGGACCTTGGCAGATGGGCAGAGGGAAGGCCTTTGGTCTGCGCTTTTGCTGTTGCCCTGTAGCACGCGAGCCCCAGCTGAGGCCAGGAGGAGTAAACCACAGCTCCCTCAAAGTGACCGGATGGGTTGTGGGATGTACAAGGCATCTTCTTCTGTGGTTTTCATTTCCAGTTACTCACTGTGTATCGTATTTCAGGGTTTTGTCTATATTTTAAATTGAAACCTAGACCCTGCCACACATAATTTCAGAACTGAAGGTTCTTTAAAGCCCTAGTCCCCCTCCCCTGCGTGGTCCTGCCTCAGTGACCTGGCACTCAGCCTCCTACCCCCTTGGCTATTCCACTTGACCGTAGGCATTCATTTGGGGGAAACGGTTTCGTTGTCGTTGCAGGTTAGAACCACAGCTGAAACAACTACAAGTCAAATATGACGAACTTAAGGAGAGAAAATCTTCCCTAAGGAATGCAGCGTGTTTCTTATCTAACCTAAGACAGCTTCATCAAGATTACTCAGATATTCGAGAAAAAGAACCTCATGTAAAAGAAACGGTAACTTCAGTTTTTATTTTTCACTGTGATTCAGAAGATCAGGGCACCTGCACAGTGGAGTACTTCTACAGGAGCTTGGGGGAGAGGGAAATGGGGGTGCATTACAGTCACCCAAACAGCATCACTGTGATCATCAACTCTTTGGCTACTTCAGGCTAGAGGAATAGAGAACAATCTAGAAATGCTGATTTTATTAAAGAGAAATGGCTGAACATAAGCCATCATCCCCCATGCATGGTCAGTCTAATTTTAGAAGTCGGGAAACATGAAAGGGACCTAGAGTAGGGAAAGTCATATGTTATTTTTATAAAACTTGTTGCTTCTGGATTTTTGCTGCTGTTACAAGAACCAGCTCAGATCAATAGAAATTTAAATTACAGGGGAAAAAAATCAAATATGTATTTACATTTTATGTAAAATTATATCTTATGATCATACTTGTATTCTTCACGTCTAAGTTCAATTTTAAGTTTTTACACTGATTTAAAAGCCTTCAGTTTGTATATTAGATCTGAAAGAAGAATGCTTTTAATGTTTTCTGTACCCACTAGTCTACAGTTTGCTTGAGTTGGGGATTTGGTTACTCACTTGGAGATGATCATAGTGCTGCTTGAATTTGAACATAACTTTGGTGGAAACAGAGACTTGAGGACTTGACTTTGCTCAGAATACACTAGTCTTTCTAACGTGTCCTTCGCAAGCCCGCAGACCTTCTGTGCTCTCTTGTAATGTCTCTCTTCCTTTGTGGAAAGTAGGCATTTGGGACTCTTCTTTCCTAAACCAGAACTCTAACCCCAAATGTTAGTGCTACCCCTCACGCCTCCCTGAGCGCGCATGTCCCATGGCAGCTTGAATACAGTAGGCTCTCAAATATCTGTTTGAAGTTGATAGTACTAGGGTAGGGTATAGTCTAGAAAGAATTAATTATGTGGATGGAAGTCACAGTTGCACACCTTTTCCACGCAAAGCTGTTCTTTTCATTACTAAAGAAAACACCTTGAAAAAATGAAATTAAACAGTTATCCTAAGTATGAGCAAATTCTGTAGGGGGAAGATAGTTTACGTCATTCCTGGATCTAGTTTACGACATGAAGCTTGGCTTTGTTATTTCAAAATCATGAGTTGGGTTTTGATTTCTATTTTATGTTGAGTTTGTATTCTGTCTTTAGTCCTCCCCATACATTTTTCCTCGTGAACTTAGATGGGCCTGGTTTTCGCCTTCCATTAGTTCTTCCAGTAAAAGTTAATCTGCCTTACAGTTTTCTGGGTTTAAAATAGGCATGAGGTCAGCAGACTTGCCCAAACCAAGTCTCGATCTGTATGAGGAATGATTTTGTTTTAAATAATTTAAATGCCACAGTTCTTGGAACCAACTGGTCGTCTGGGAGGAGATCAGCCTAAGCTTTCTAGAGCAGTTTCCTTGTCACCTTTTTAATTGTGCCCTAAGGAAAAGGATTAAACCAATTTTTAAAAATGATCCTAATTTAAAAAATGAAAGTTTATGAAAAGCTCCATTTAGTATTGAGCTGTATAAAAGATAGGGTTAAAGAAATTTTTTAGGCATGTTAATCAAAATATAATTTTCCTTCAACAGTATGATTCATCCAGCCTTCCAGCTCTGTTAGTCAAAGCGAGAACCCTTCTGGGAGCTGAAAACCACCTACAAAATATCAACCATCAATTAGAGAAGCTCCTTGACCAGAAAGGTGACCAATCTACTGAAATGTGACTCTGTAAAGACTAGTCCCCTGCGCTTGCCTGTTCCCTTCTGATACTATACTTTTGTAAATAAAAATTCTTTGAGAAGTGAAATTTGTCTACTTTTCAGGCTGACTTGTCACCAAAATTTAGGATTACTTTGTTCATAGTCATTTGGTTTGAATGAACATGTTAAGTGGCAAGTTTGAGTGTATAAGTGGTTTTAGAGGCCAGATTCCAGACCCCAGCCAATTAGACTCTGACCTAGAAGAGCTCTAACCGGAAGTGGCAGAGGGAGGAGTTCCAAGACTGGACGGAAGGACCCCGAACTCACCGCATGTCCAGACACCCATGGAGCAGTTCCTCCTGAACAACACCGAGGCCTGACGGACCGCTGCTCACTGATGCCAGGAGCCTGACCCGGTCCCATGGAGAGAGAAAGGTAAGAGGCGGACACGGGGTGACAGTGGGAACCCCAGCCCTGAAGCGCTGGCCCATGAGTCGCCAGCCGCCCCGCCCCCCCGAAACAAAACATCAGTTTGAAGGACAGAGAGACTTGTAAATGAAGGAAACCCGTGAACTAACCTTAGAACATCCACCAGGCTGTAGGAACTGCTGGAACCCTCTGGGGCTCAAGAGGCTGAGGAGCACTGTTGTTCATTTACCCCTCCGCCTGAGAGCCTGGCTGGAGCAGGGTCTGGGCCCCCTAACCACTCCTCTAGGCCTGGCCCCTTGAGCCCTGGGCCTTTAGGCCATGGCAGCTGCAGGGCGAGAGAGGCCCAGCTGTCCCCCCAGCACTGACCACTCCCCAACCCGTGTGCACACCAGGACCCTCTGGCCTGGGCCCACTGCAGCCGTCTCGCCCCGGCACCCCATCTCCAGCAGAGAGGACTCTGGGACTGCTGGGGCCCAGGCTAGCCCACCAAGGACTAGAAGGGACTATCATTTTAAAATAGACTGTTAAATAGGTCAGTACATACGAACCTCGTGATAACCAAAACCCTAAAATAGACAAAGTAAAGGAACCCAAACACTAAAGAAAACCGTCAAACCACAAGGGAAGAGACCAAGAGAAGAAAGGTACAGGGAACAACAAAAGCAACCAGAAAATGATTAACAAAATGGCATTTTGATATGCTCCAATCATATGACAGAGTAGCTAAATGGATTTAAAAATTGACGCTTCTATATGCTGCCTACAACATAGCAGACTTCAGACTAGACACAGTGAAGAAAGGGGAAAGATACTCCATGCAAATGGGATGGAAAAAAAAGCTGGAGTAGCTATGCTTAGACTTTAAAACAAAGACTAACAAAGGACAGAGAAGAACATTACATTATGGTCAGGGGTCAATACAAGAAGAGGATAGAACATTAGTAAGCATCTATGTACCCAACACAGGAACACCTACACACAAAGCAGATACTAACAGACATAAGGGGAGAAATTAACAATACAATAATAATATGGGACTTCAATACAATAATAATATGGGACTTTAATACCCCCACTAAATCAGTGTCATCCAGACAGAAAATCAATAAGGGAAACTTGACCTTAAACAACACATTAAACCAGAGGGACTTAACATATACAGACCATTCCATCCCCAAACTATAGAATATACATTCATTTCAAGGGCACATGGAGTATTTTCCAAGAAAGAGCACATGTCTCAAATTCAGGCAAACTGGAAAAAATACAAACGTGGAAAAGCAGCAGCACGCTATTGAACAACAAATGGGTCAATGAAGAAACCAAAGACGAAACTGAAAAATACTGAGAGAGAAAATGGAAACAATTTTCCAGACTCTAGGGGACACCGCAACAACAGTTCTCAGAGGGAAGTTCATAGTGACATAGGCTTACCTCAAGAAGCAAGAAAATTCCCAAATAAAAAAATCTTTATGCCTAAAGGAGCTAGGAAAAGAAGATTGAACAAAGCCCAAAGTTAGCAGAAGGAAGGAATTAATTAAGTGGAGAATAAAAAAAAAATAGAAAATATCATGAAACTAAAAGCTGGTTCTTTGAAAAGATAAAATTGGTAAATCTCTAGCCAGATTCATTAAGAAAAAGAAGGGCACCAATAAAGTCAGAAATGGCTGACACCACAGAAATTCAAACAACCATGAGATTACTGTGAACAATTATACATTAACAAACTGGTCAACCTAGAAGAAATACATAGATATGGATAATGGATAAATACAAATATATGGCCCAAGACTGAATCACTAATAGAAAATCTGAAGACTAATTATGAGTAATGAAATGGAATCAGTCATTTAACAACTAAAAAACAAAAGTCCAAGAGTAGGTGGTTTGACAGGTAAATTGTACCAAACATTTAAAGAAGAGGTAGTATCTATTCTCAAATTATTCCAAAATACTGAAGAGGAAAGAATACTTCCAAATTCATTTTACAAGGCCAGCATAACTGATAACCAACACCAGACAAAGACATCACAAAATCACAGTGCTGTGAGCGTAAGCCCCATGTTGAGCTCCATGCTGGGCATGGAGCCTGCTTAAGATTCTCTCTCCCTCTCCCTCAGCCCTTTTCCCTGCCCATATATATGCATTTTTCTTTTTTTTTTAGAGGACCAATCTCTTTAGCAAGGGCAATTATATCAAACTTAAAAGTAAACAAATGGGATTATATCAAACTTAAAATGCTTCAGCACAGTAAACAACGAAATGAAAAAACCTATGGAAAGGGAAAAGATATCTGTAAATCATACATTCAATAAGAGGTTAATATCAACAATATATAAAAATTTATACAATATAAAACATTTTTTTAAATGGGCAGAAAAAACTTGAATAGACATTTTTCCAAAGTAGATAAACACAGACAAAAGATGTATGAAAAGATGGCTCAGGACTACTAGTCACCAGAGAAATGCCAATCAAAACCATAATGAAGGGGCACCTGGGTGGTTCAGTGGGTTATGTGTCTGCCTTCAGCTCAGGTCATGATCCCAGAGTCCTGGGATCGAGCCCTGCTCAGCAGGGAGTCTGTTTTTCCCTCTCCCTCGGGCCCTCCGCCCTACTCATGTGCATGCTCTCCCTCTTTTCTCTCTCTCAAATAAATAAAATCTTAAAAAAAGAAAAAGTGTCACACCTCACACCCATCAAATTGCTATTAGATTGCACTGTAAGTTGCTGCAGCCACCATGGAAAACAGTATAGTGCTTCCTCAAAAACTTAGAAATACCGTACGATCCAGTAACTTCACTTTCTCTGGGTATTTATCTGAAGAAAATGAACACAGTAATTCAAAGGAATGTATCATACCTATGTTTATTGAAACATTATTATTCCTTGAAGCAGCCAAGATACAGAAGCAATCTAAGTGTCCTCTGATAATGAATAAAGAAAATGAGGAGTATTATACAAACACACAGGAATATTTCTCAACTGTAAAAAAGAATAAAAACCTGGCATTTGTAACCACATGGATGGAACTAGAGTGTATTATGCTGAGTGAAACAAGTCAGACAAATTCCATATGATTATATGTGGAATCTAGAAAACCAAACAGAGACAGACTCCAAAATATAAGAAATTATTGGTTACCAGAGGGAGGAGCGGTTCAGGGGGGTAAAACAGGTAAAGATGAGTAAGAGGTACAAAGTTCCAGTTATAAATTATGAGGATGTAATATACAGTATAGGGAATATGCAGTCAGTAATATGTAATAACGTCGTGTGAGGACAGATGGTGACTAGAGTTACGGGCATCATTTTGTAATGTATAAAGATGCCGAATCAGGATATACACCTGAATAGGACACTCTATGTCAATTACACTTCAGTTAAAAATTTTTAAAGAAGATTAAGAGTTTTAACCCATCAACAGACCTGCAAAATGAAGCGGATATGAACATAGACCAACTCTGGCCAATTAGTAAGATCTCTAATTTTGAAGAAAACTGGCTTACTTCAGTAAAAAACAGGAATTGAGAAGCAAAGTGATAAAACTTGGTTTTCATTAACAGGTTTAATAAGGCTTAGGTCACTAAATCGTCGTCAGGCCCAATCACAGCCGGTTACCTAAGAGCCCACGGATAAGGAGCTACTCTGGTAATACCTGCACGATGAGTTCATCGGGAATGTCCTCCTCTCCACCGCAGTAACCGAGGAGCCCGCTCTCTGCGGCTTCGGCGAGTTCGGCATCTTCAGTAGCTTCCACGAAGTCAGTCTCGTCAAGGCCATCATCCCAGTCGGCGTCAGAAATGGCACCTTCTGACAACAGGCCCGATGGCGGCTTCTGAGCACTTCTGGTGTCGCTGTTCATTGTTTCAGCTGCTGTGAACTCTTCTTCCTTTAGTTTGAAAGGGGAAGGTAGTGGAGAGTGGGAAAGGGAGGATACAGGTCAGTCATGGAGACTATGCGATGCTCTCACTCTACGGTCAGTCTAGGTTAAGCTAAGGTATTAGGGAGAAGACCAGTTCTTGAACAGACACTAAAATAAATATGCTGGATGACAGTGTCTCCAATACAGTCACCATGGGAAGGAGTGAATTCAAATGTAGCTGCCACTGTAGCTGAGACACTCGAAACTCTAAATTTGGAACTGCTCCCCCCCACCCCCCGGCCTGGTTCCTCTGGTACATTCTTTGCAATATACACAGATGGGGCTAGAGAGATGGTAGACTGAATTTTTTTAAAAAGCAGACAGTCCAGCTGAAGGTGAACTGGAAAATCTGCTATCTTAAAAGACCGATTTTCCTATTTATAAAGTATTTAAAGAATTAACATGAATTTAAAAGACTGTTAATAACAGTTGAGACAAGTGTCAAGACAGGAGTATGGATGTGTATATTAGATAACAGTAGTGTATCAACCTTAAATTTCCTGAATTTAGGAATTTTACCATACTCATTTAAGAATATCCTTAACCTAAATATCTCTAGTTACAAGCTTAAACATGAAGAGATGTAGGGTTGATGGCTGCAAATTCCTCTCAAGAGATTTGGTATGGACCGAATGTGTTACCCTAAATTCCCAAGTTGAAATGCTAACCCCCAACGTCATGGTATTAGGAGGGAGGCCTTTGGGAGGTGATTAGGTCTTGAGGATGTGGCCGTCATGACTGGGATTAGTAACCTTATAAAAGGGACCCCAGAGCGCTCCTTCATCCTTGTGACAGGGAGGGCCTGGCAAGAAATGGCTACGACCCGGAGAGCCGACCAGACGCCAAATCGGCCAGTACCCTCAGCTCAGACTTCCAGCCTCCAGAACTCTGAGAAAGCACCTTCTTGGTTTACGAGCCATCCTGCCTGCGGTGCTGTGTTACAGCAGCCTGAATGGACTAAGACAAAGAGTTCTCCAAAATAACAACGTGCCGCCCGAACAGCAGAGGGAGAACACAAATGTGGCCAAGTGTTAGCGATGGCAAATCTAGGTGAAGGGAGAGCTCCCTGTCGTTGGGCAACATTTCTACAGGGGGAATTAAAAAAAAAGAAATGTTTAAAAAACTAAGAGGATGAATGCAACAGAAAACTAGGTAACTAACACTGATCGGCAATTCATTTTAAAATACTAAAAGCAAAAAAGCCAGGGGAAGCAGAAAGGACAGAATATAAACTGTTAAAATGATGTGGTAGGTACACGGGTATTCATTAAGCTGTTCTTTTATTAATTTTCTATTTCAAATAATAATAAAAAAATTCTGTCCAAGCAGTGGTAATATGATGTACCAAAGCTACTTTCAACTTGGTATTTTTGAGGTATTACTGGATAAGCAGAAAAGTTATTTTTAAAAATCCACTGAAACCACAAACGTGCCTCAAAATAAGTCTCCAAACATTAAGGATGACATACACCTCCTCCTCTTAGAGGCAAAGTTTATTTTTACAAATTAATTTTCTCTTGGTTATTTCAAGAACACTTTTTAACCTAACAGTTTACCAGGGAATCTGGCTATCAGCTATGTTGGTCCTGCTCCTACCATGTCTATGTTAGATGTATGAATTTGTGCTGGAGACATTTTTTAGTCAAATTGAATAGGCAACAGACCATTACCCAGAATGTGAACTGAGCTCACTTAATCTGCGTGTAGCAGGTAACTTTTATTCTAACCAGAACACCAGAAAGGAAAAGGGTGATAGATGTGGGTAAAAGGAACACTAAAATGTTCAATCTGGAAAATAACATGATCAAAGAGTTAATAAAAAGTTCTCATTAGGGGCGCCTGGGTGGCTCAGTGGGTTAAGCCTCTGCCTTTGGCTCAGGTCATGATCTCAGGGTCCTGGGGTCAAGCCCCACATTGGGCTCTCTGCTGAGCAGAGAGCCTTCTTCTCCCTCTCTATCTGCCTGCCTTTCTGCCTACTTGTGATCTCTGTCAAATAAATAAATAAAATCTATAAAAAAAAATTTGTGAAGCCTTATGTCCTACCATTTTTATGGATACCAACTGGTAATATGTACTCATGAAAACAAATTAGGAAAAAAGATCTATAAAGTAAGATGCCTACTGTGACTTTAAAAATATATATGTGAGCATACACCAACAGAAATTCTGGAAGATATCTGCCAAAGCACATCAGTTATCCCTGACTGGTCAAATTCTAGGCAAGGAGGAGTTTATCCCTGTTGGCTTTTCATGTATCTTCTAACTTTTTCTCACAATAAGTGTGAATGATTTGGGGAAATAAAAGTTTTTAAGAGGACAAAGTCAATTTGGCCATCTGGTAATTTCTACCAAAATTTAAAATGCACACACCCTTTGACATAATTCTACTTCTAGCAATTCTACCTACAGACAGAGTTGTTGAAATAAACACAAAGATTAGTATTTCGATCTTCCTAAAGCCAAGAAGGAGAGACTGTCCCTGGCTGGGTGCGGTCCAACTGGTGGGTCTGCACACCGAGCACAGCAGAAGAAGCCCACGGGCACGCACAAGTGGGTGCGCGCAGACGCCGGCCCAATCACTGGGGCACACTCCTATGTGACAACACGTCCTGAGGACATGGTGCACAGCTCAGTTATACTGCCGTACTGAGAAAAGATTAGGAAAGAGAGAAACTCAAACCTGCGCTCACCTCTTTGAGAAGATACAGGAGACTCACTTCAGCAGGTAATGGAAAACCTGGACAAGAAAACAGTTTCACTCTTCTATGTAGCTTTCCACTTTTCACTTGGTACATATGTAAAAAATTAGTAACTCACAGTCCGATCTGAAGTTTTCTGCTTTACATACAGGGTCATGACATTTCTGATACCAAACTTCATTTTTCAGATCAACCAAAATCCTTTACATTGGGGAAAAAAAAAGGGAAAAAGTTATTACTTAAACCCCAGACTGGTTGGATAACAAAATTCATCTACATGCTGCTTACCAGAGACATGCCTAAGACTTCAAGATGGAGACCAGGTAAGAAGTAAAAGGATGGAAATAAACATACACCAACCCAAAGAAAACTCTGGATGTCAAAAATAACACCCCAAGTGGACTTTAGGGCAAAATAACACACATAGGCAAAAGTTCTTCCCAAGAAGACCTAGTTCCCAACCTGTTCCCGCCAAATATGACAGCTTCAAAATGAATGAGCAAAACTGACAGGACTCCGAGGATAAACAAACCGTGTACCATAAATCAAGATTTTAAAAAACATTCTTTTAGTAACTGATACAAATAATCACAAAAAATTCAGTGAGGGTGCAGAAAATGTGAATGACCTAAAAAGCATTTTTTAATAAAATTAAAAGCAATTAACACGTTTGCTATAATAGGCTTATAGGAACACTGCCTCAGATCATTAGAAGTTCTTTACAATCACATATAAAAAAATTATAAAAACTGAGTGTGCTAGGGTACCAGGTCCATCTCATTAAATTTAAAAGTATTCACATAACACATCTCTGACCACAAAGCAAATTATTTAGAAATAAGTAACAGTGGGGCACCTGGCTGGCTCAATCAGCTAAGTATCAGGCTCTTGGTATTGGCCTGGATCATGATCTCAGCGTCCTGGGATCAAGCCCCGCATAGGGCTCCTCTCCCCATAGTTTGCTCGTCCCTCTCCTCTGCTACTTCCCCACCCTCTCGTGCACCCGCCTTCTCTTTCTCTCAAATAAATAAAATCTTTTTAAAAAAGTAACAAAAATAGCTAACAGAAACCCACAACTTGGAAATTGAAACATTTCTAAATAATCAATTACTCAAAAATCATGATGGAAATTAGAAAATGAATGGAATTGAAAATACATAGTAAAATATGGGAAACAGAGCTAAAATGAGATTTGGAGAGAAATTTGGAATCCTAAAAGCATTAAATCACAAAAAAGAGTGGCTAAAGGCCAATAAATAACTAACTTGGGAAATGAAAAATAAAACTCTAATAAAATAAAAAGCAGGAAGTAATAAGAAGCAAGATTTTAAAAGAATCAACAAGGCCAAAATGTGAAAACTAATAGAATTCTTGCCAAGCTTGATCAAAATTAAATTAGCTAGACACAAATGTTATCAGAAATTAAGCGCAGATGTAACTACAAATCATAAAATATTAAAAATTTAAGAACATTAAGAACAATTTCTGCCAGTAACATTAGAAATTTTGATAAAACAGACAAAGTACTAGATAAAAAGATACCAAACTGAGCAAACCTAAAAAGTTTCAGAAAACCTGGACCATCCTCATAGACCGCAGGGCTGCAGTCCCCCCGCTGTACCCCAGACTGTCCCCAGGCCATGAAGAGTATTTGCATCTTTCCAGGGAAACACTGCGATACTGGACATCTGTCAGGCACCCCACATTCTACTTGCTTAGCGTTCCCAGCTTCCATATTGTAACAGCTTTCATTCCTTTCAGTGATGGCCTGTCTTTGTTGAGCTGAGGTTTTTGGTGGTGACTGTGATAACAAGGACCATAATCGGGGCGCCTGGGTGGCTCAGTCTGTTAAGCAACTGCCTTTACCTTGGGTCATGATCCCAGAGTCCTGGGATCGAGCTCCGCATTAGGCTCCCTGCTTGGCAGAGAGTCTGCTTCTCCCTCTATCCCTCCCCCCTGCTTATTCTCTCCCTCTCTTGCTCTCAAATAAATAAAATCTTAAAAAAAAAGAAAAAGAAAAAAAAACTCATAGGGCTTTAAGAAAACAAAAAACCAAGGGCCATAACCGTCAATGTGGAATAAGAGAGAACTGGGGTGGCAGCGTCCGCTAATTCCAAGGTTTGAGAGATTATGCAATGCTCAGAAAGACACACACCCCACTAATAAGTATTTTTATGTAAGAATGAGTTCAAGGACGCAAACCTTACTTACAAACCTTCCGTTCAGAGTAAGTCATGGGGATGTGATGGTAATGACCCATAGCTCATAGCACGGGACCGCCTCTGGATTCCTTGAATCTTAAAACGTGCTCGTCAGCCCAACCTCGGGTCAGACTGCTGTTTCGTGTGAGTGTGCTTTGATCATCCAGTGTCATATTCATTAGGGATCCGGTAAATTCAGATGAAAACCACAGTGTCCTCTTATACAACCGGATCAGCCAAACAAGAGATTTTTAAAATATACCTTGGTGAGATTATGGAACAGCAGAAAATACCTGAAAACACTGCTGGTGGGAGAACTAGCTGGCCATGTGGGAAAATTACTTACGTAGCCATGTGAAACCTGGGAATACTCCATCGCACATCAATGCTACCTTCAGGAACGGACTTTGAGAAACTCTGGCACACGGGCCACAGGCAGGATGTACCCGAGCACCTGCAGCGGCGTCGCTCAGTTCAGCGAGCCAGATGTCCAGAGGAGGGAAACAGACACGCACGTTCATATTTACATAATGGCACACCACACCACAGTGGAAAAAATAAGCAACGGCCGCATGTTGCAGTATGGATGAACCCCACGAATTCAATGTTGACCAAAAAGCAATTCTGAGGACGCAGTTTACACAAGATTCAGAAACACGGAAAACAAAACAATCTTTTGCTTGGAAATATAAGTATGTATGGGGGAAAAAAAACATTTAAAGAAAGCAAGGGCAAGATGAACACAAAACCCAGGACAAGAGTTATTATTATCTCAGATGGTCAGAGCAAAGTTGGAAACGGGTTGGTCCCACAGAGCGCTTCTGAGGTTTGGTCAAGTTCCACTTCTCACGGTGGGTGGCAGACAGCACACGTGATCATTTCAGCGTGCCTTTGAGGCGTACCCGCACATGAGAATACATGCTTTTATATGTATGGGGATTTCACAGTTAAGAAAAAGAAGAGATTATGGATACATAATAGAAGCAGGTAATTTTCCAGAAAGAAATACGTAGCAACCTGAGAATCTCAAAAAGTTAAAGGATGATCATCTTATGATAATGAATTCCTGGTAAAATACATAGAGTAAAAGATGAGAAAGATATACCAAAACCATAACCATGGTTATCATTGATTCTGGGCCTGTGGGGAAGCTTTTCCTTTGTGTTATTCTAAGTGATAGCTTTTGTGTATTGAGCATATAGTGTGTTTTTTTTTTTTAAACTAAGCTAATCTGCATACAGACGTGTAGCACTGAAAGATGCCTCCCACAATGTTCCCAGCTTTCTAGCAAAAGCTTCATGATCTTTCCTCACGTCTGGCACACGTGCTATATACACTTGATATACAGAAGTCTCAGCTTTGATATTAAATACAAAACAGCAAAATTTCCTATATCATAACTGATAACTACTGGGTTTCTGTCTTATTCCTATTCTCACCATATCCTTGAATTATCTAAAATTCTATTTCATCCTTTACTTCCTCTCCTTTTGCCAGGGGGATTTTAAAGAAAACTCCTAACATAGGGCCTGGTGTATACAGCAAGCATTCAATAAATATTGGTTCCCTTCAATATGATTTCTTTTTCATAAGATTTTATTTATTTATTTGGGAGAGGGAGGGAGAGAGAGAGGCACGGAGAGCACAGAGAGAGCAGGAGACTCCCCGCTGAGCAGAGAGCCTGACTTAAGGAGCTGCATTCCGGGACCCTGGGATCATGACCTGAGCCGAAGGCAGATGCTTAACTAACTGGGCCATCCAGTACCATTCTTTGTCTTGACCATGTTAATGTTAACTCCAACTCGTAACACTGAGTAATTTCCTTTTCACCCGAATTTGTTCAATTTCAACTTACACACCATAAAATGTCAAGGACAAGAGAGAGACACTTCCTCGTCCCTGTTCGCTCACCTGTCTATTGCCTCTAATTTCTTCCTAGCCCTGCTCAGGCCTGTCTTTGTCTTCTCAAGATTATACTACCTAAGGGATTATATTACCAAATAAAGTACAAATAAAGATGACATGTGCTATGAAGCAAGGTGATAATTAACATAGCCAAATTCAATACTATAAAACAGAACCCAAATACAATATTTGATACAACTAAATTTATTGTAGAAACCAAAGTCATTTTTTATGTTCAACCGTACAAATTATAAACATTTAAAATAATATTGGTTAAATACACAGAACTCGTTAGTAAACAACATTACTTACATGATATTATTGCTCTTGTGGGCCCTCCCGATGTTTCTGCACCAGCGATATTTACAAATATCATAAACCAGTAATTCCTCTGGGAAAAAGTAGCTCCAGTGTCGAATTCCTAAAATACAAATAATGTTTCTAAAGGTATTTAAAACTCTGTCATATTACAGTGAATAAAGAATAAGATTATCTTTACCTCCTTTAATGCCATTTTTATTCACCAAAGAAAGAACAAACTGGTCAATTTCAGGGTAGGGAGAACAATGAAAACCTTCAATGTTTCCTGCTGCAACAGAGAGAAAAACTAATTACAGTTAGAGCAGCTAAGAGTCAAAGAGTTAAATGTTAAAAGTTGTTCTTTAGGACAATTACAGGTTACGGAGGCCCCGCAACTTTTTTGTTTCCATGGTTTCAGGCAGTCATGGGTTCTTGCTTGCCCTACAAGCAAGCAGGGAAAAGTCAAACCTCGAAGTTAAGTCCAATGTTAACTACGATTCCTAAGAAGCACCTGTAATCGTTTCAACTGCTTTCTTCATTTTGATAAAGAGAAAAGCAACCCCTTGTACTCCAGAGCCAGCCTACTGCTATCAGCTCAGCCTTGATGTTGCGACACACTAGGCTGGTCCCCGACAGCTCAGCAACGGTGCTTTCCTGCTAATAAGGAATTATCTCACAGAATTTCAACATCAGATAAGGCCGCTCTGTGGCCAAGAGGATTCATGAAAAAAACAAGACCACTCACTCCATAACTGTGTCTGAACACAGACAAAGCACGAACATTTTCCAAACTGCAAAAATGACCAACACCTCCCACCTTACCTGATACAAGTAATTGCTCCTTCTTAACCAATTATAGCTTTACACCCACTGTAACCTGTCTTCCTTCTAGATAAAATTTATGAAGATAGTCAGTCATCCGATCGTCTCTTTGAAACAAATCCATGCCTCCTAGACACTTCTCAAAAGCACCTAACTCAAGCCTGCATCCTGTAATAAATCTTTTCTAATGCCCTTTTCCTGAGATGCCCCACAGGTCCTCATGGTACGAGCTCTCCACACTGAAGCCAGGACCAAACTCCACTTGTTAGCGGTTAGCGATAAGTGTGTTCTCCCATGATCCTCAGCTGTAGGATCAGTTATATTTTATATCTAAGAATCTACTGGAATAATTTATGATAACTTATTTAAAATGTCATTTAACTTTTAAACACAGAAGTATCTACTTTTCTTAAAATAAAACCTATATTTCACTTACAGAGGTAATATACATAGTTGGAGAAACTATGGAAAATATACGGAAGCAGAAATGAGAGAAAGTCCAAGGCAATGTCTAGAAATGACTGTTAAACAACCAGAAGAAAATAAACCTAAGAAAATGTTACCCGCATTTTTAATGAACCTGGGATCACACCTCTCAAATAATGTTGGAGTCTACTTTTTTCTCTTAATATCATAAATGGAAATTTTCCATTTTATATTGGCTTTACAAATTTAAATTAAATGGCTACAGAGTATGTTATAGTAGTGTCACCAACCCCATTTTGTACATTTAGATTGTTTCCATTTTTTTGCTCTTGTAAATAATGATGGCCCAAAATATGTGTAAAAATGTTTACTAGAGAGTTAATGTATTGATAGAAAAAGCCCATTTTTCAATATAAGAATGAAGAACATGTGCATTTCATGAAAAAACTCTGCAGCCATTAAAAGAATGAGAGAATACAGGGAGAGATCCTCTGGGTTCAGTGTAAACAAACAGCGGCTGTCCATCTGATTGTGGACAGAGGGGAAGAGTACTGTTAGTTTTTCTTTTAATAGGGGTTTCTACAAACAAAACTACTTTATTTTCTTCTGGGCTTTTTCTCCCCCCCCTTCAAAATCACCATAAAATGAAAATTAGTGAATACGCTTTAAAAAGTATCTTTTCTTGGGGTGCCTGGGTGGCTCAGTGGGTTAAGCCTCTGCCTTTGGCTCAGGTCATGATCTCAGGGTCCTGGGATAGAGCCCCGAATCAGGCTCTCTGCTCAGCAGAGAACCTGCTTCCCCACCCCTCCTGCCTGCCTCTCTGCCTACTTGTGATCTCTGTCTGTCAAATAAATAAATAAAATCTTAAAAAAAAAAAAGTATCTTTTCTTTATACGTTTTCCAATTTGAATACAAACTAAGTTGTTTTAAAGGATCAGTAGATAAGAATCTTGAAGTTAAGATTTTTAAGGCAAAACAGACTTTGTATCCTTAAATTTTCATAGGAAATTGTTTTCTTAAAATTACCTTTAGTGCTGGTACTGTTAAAATATTCAACTCGTTTCTGTTCATTCTGAGATGTGTCACAGGTCAGAATTCGTAAAGTATCTGAGAATCTGAAGAAAATATTGGAAGAAATAAAGTAAGGTGATCTCAGAATCAAAGAGAGATGGCTACAGAAGGAAAATTGAATTTCACATAGTTCCACGTTAAAATCCTTTATTCAACAGCTAATTCTTCTAGGACAATGAAGTCACACTTGCCTACAAAAACACCAATCCCAAGACTAGTCTGGTGATCATTTAAAATACTTTTTTCAACTACAGTGTGAATCAGAGGACTCTGGGACTGCTGAAGCCATGGAATGAAGTATATAATTATACTCTTTGAAAGTACAGCACCTTTAAAATTTTTGTTACAATGATTTGAAAAAGTGTGAATAATGTGGGGAGGAGAAGGGAAGAAGGAAGGAGGGATGAGAGAAAAGGAAAAAATAACTAAAATTAACCAAAAGACGCATTTATAACCCTAAAGAATTTAGTTTTCATTTCAGGAAGAAATGTACCCATTATTTTCTTGGAACCACAAAAGAAAATTAAGGAAACCCTTATTCAGTATAACTCCACTTCTGTGGATTTAATGCTGAAACTACAAAGGAAATGGGGTTTGGTAACAGGGAGATGACTTTAGGCAATCTTACAGGCCGTGGTGCTTTTCCCACACAAGACAAAGTAAGAAGCCACTCTTGGGCCAACAGCAGTGAGCAGCAGCTGTCATACAATTTTTCCAGTATCTACAGTGCTTCCAGAATCGCAGAACTGCTATTGCTAATAACTAACATTTACTGAGAGGCTACCATGTGCTGGGCATGGCTGTCCTTTTGTGTCCAGTTTTAACTCCCTCCATCTTCACAACTCCCTAAGAGAGGGGGTCACATCATGTCCATTTTAAAGGTAAGGAAACTAAGACTTTGATGTTCCATCTGAAAAATGTTATGAAAGAACTCAAAGTCCAAAAATAATATGAAGAGAAACCACCCGTCTTCGCACCCTCCCGAGTAACTGCTGGCAAGTGGACATGTGGACACAACTTCCCCTCCAGCGAAGTATTTTAAGTATTTTATGAACATCCATTTCTACGGGATTTCTCCTGAGAACTATATCTAGAGAAGGCAAAGGAAAAAGAAGTAGAGCAAATCAATTGAGGAAGGCAATTTAGTTTGATCGTTAAATGTGGTTTGGACTAACAAAATTTGCCAACCCAGGTATAGAAATGGAGGCAAACGTTTCTGTTGAAAGAGGTCTTTCACACTTTTTAAAAATGACCAAAAGGTGGCACCTTCAGTGTTCGACAACAAAACTGACAATAAATTAGAGTTCATCAGTATAATGGAAAATTATATAGGCAATAAAAGTTTTAGTTATAACTGTTGCGAGTCATTAACTTGGCAGATAGTCATGATATGACGTTAAGTGGATAAAACAACTGACATAACCACATAAATAATGATCTCAAGAAAATATTCTTTGAATGAAGGAGATATGTAAATTTTACATATGAATGTATATCCATGGAAAGTAGATATTAACAGTAACTCTATTTCCAAATGGAATTCTAGTAGTTTTTGTTTTCTTTCTTATAAAAAGAAAGCTAATCTAGAATTTAAGAATTCTTAAGTTAGAATGAACTTACACAATTCCCATTTTGGTACTACACAATGTCATTCGCTGTTTAATAAACATTCATGAATGCACAACGGTGTGATTTTGGTACTATATACCTGACATTGCTGACCAAAGAAGACAGGAAATACTGATTTTCTTCAGAAATATTCTTAGACTGTTCAGGAAAAAATCTGTTGTCTTCAGCAATCTCCAAAGCCACCTGCTTCCCTATCTTCGATGACTTATACAGCCGGAAGTTTCTATTTCTTGTATAAACTCCTATTATCAAAAATTAATAAAACAATTACGAATGCATGTTTTCCGTGATTTGTTTTTACAGTCAGCAAATATTAATTTTGAATAGCATTATTAGAGAAACAACCGGTTCTGGTTCAAGGTGGCGATATATGAAGAGCTTGAACTCCCCTCCACACGGGAACACACCAAAGCTACAGCGGTATTTGGAAACGATTTCCTCTGAAAAAAAAAAAACAAAAAAAAAAAAAACCCTACAACCCAGCAGATTGACTCCTTCACCCAATGAGAGGGAAACCACACGGAAACAGGTGGGAAAGGCCAAGACACAATCTCTCCATAAGCCCCACCCCCAGGGCAACACCCACAACTGGCTGGGAATTCAAAACCCGGAGCTTCTCCTTGAAAGCAAAGGCTCATAACTCACATTAGGTACCCCGACTTTTTTTTTTTTTTCCAAAGATTTTATTTATTTATCAGACAGAGATCACAAATAGGCAGAGAGGCAGGCAGAGAGAGAGAGGGGGAAGCAGGCTCCCCACCAAGCAGAGAGCCCGATGCGGGGCTCGATCCCAGGACTCTGGGATCATGACCTGACCGAAGGCAGAGGCTTTAACCCACTGAGCCACCCAGGCGCCCCGGTATCCCGACTTTTAAGGCCTGCCCCTAAGAGATGAGCCCCAGAAACATCTGGCTTTCAAGACTGGGCTGTGGCTAACTGACGAAGGGCTCTTAAGGGCTCACCTGCACATTCACTCGCCCCAAGGCCTAGTGCACAAGCAGCCGTTCTGAAAGTGCCCAGACTTTACGTGAAAGGGACTCATTTCCAAACTTTAAGGCGCTGGCCTGAGGGATACCCTCCAGGGATGGAGGTGGTGGGCGCCATCATCCTCTCTGCCTCTCTAAGCCGGTGGCTGCCATCTTTCTTCTTTTCCTTTTTTCTCCCCCTTTTCCTTCCCCCCTCCCTTTTCTTAGTGGGTGCCATCTTTGCCCGCCCCCTCAGCCTCACTCCAGCCAGAGGAGCGAGGCTGGCTTTGGCTCCCCCTCTGCTGTGTTCCAGAGCACCAGAAGCTCCTGGAGGAAAGTGTCTATTACCATCTGGTGCCCGAGTTTTTACATGTGGGGACCCATTTTTCAGGTGAGCCCTTGATCACCCGGCTCTGAAGTCCAAGGAGGCTTGGTTCCTGGGTCCCCAGGGCTGTAACAGCGGGAAGGACCGTGCTCGGGAGACTACTACTCCCAGGGCACCGCACAGAGACACACGGAAACACCCCCCGCTTCTGAGCAAGAGGCCTATTTGCTTGAGCCACAGCCCCAGCCCAAAGGGCAAGCTTCCGGTCTGGCACACTTATAGGAGCCTCCAGAAGGGCCCTCAGGGCATGGAGCTCAGTGGACAAAATTTTCGCACCATTCAGCTCACTGGGATCTTCCAGAACAGGGCTTAGGCCCTTTGTCTGGTGCCCTGATTTTTGCAGTTGCTGCCAGGGGACTCCTCTCCATCACCTGGCTCTGGTGGCCTGTTGGACTGACGCTCACAGGTCCTGCAGAACTAAGACCAACAGAGAAGGAGTTCTTCAACAGCCACCATCCCTAGGGCTCAGCAAGAGGCAACAGGCCCAGGGGCGCAGTCTCTCTAAGAAGCCTATTAGCTATCACAATTGGTGCGGCGGATGGGGCAGGTTTCTAATGACATTAACATGCCAGTAGGGTCTGCCCGGAAACCTTTCCTGAGACCTTGGAGGGCAGGCAGTACTTCCGTCCTCTCTTCTGCTGTGCTTCACAGCACCAGCATCTCTGGTAACTTGAGGGGAACTTGTATAAGCATCTCGTGCCCCAGTTTTGACATCGAGTACCCTGCATTTTGGAGCTGCCTCCTAGGGGATAACCCTTAGTCACCTGGCTCTGGTGGCCAGGGGGCTTCGGGTCCGGGCGCTCACGAGACTGCATCAGTCAGAGAGAGAGTTCTTAGATGGCTGCCACCCCCTGCGCACTGCACACAGAGAAGACTGGAACATTCTGGGAAAGAGGCCTAAATGCTTGTCCTGAAGCTTTGGCCTGGGGGGCAATCTTCAAGTCTGGCACACATCTAGAAGCTCCAGAGCTGCTCCCAGGGAGCACAGGCCAGGTGATGCTATCTTTGTGTTCTCCCACCTCACCACAGCTCACCAGGACCTCTCAGAAACGAGCTTGTATGCTCAGCAAGTCCCAAGTTTTGCAACTACCACCCACAGGATGCCTCCATGTTCCCCAGCTGTGTGGGTCAGTGGGACTCACATCTGCAGACCCATATGACTGTACATATTTCCATTCTCTTAAAGCTGCTTCCTGAGGGTCTAGCTTCCAATCAGCCTGAACCCAGGTGCTGAATGAGATCCTGCCCTTTGGGACATTAACTGGGCCTGGCATATTCCGAAGTCCTGGGAACCATAAAAGCTAAAACAGGCTGCTTGGATAATTACAAAAGTCTGGGAAACAACCAAGAGCTAGGACAGGGTTGAAGGAGAAGTTTCATCTCCTACACAAGGCCAACCGTTCAAGACTGGGAGGAAATGCTCTTTCATCAGGCAAAGAGAGTCAAGCAAAATGAAGAACAGAGCACTGCATTCCAAACAAATTAGATAAAACTCTTGAAGGACCTAAACGGAGTGGAGAGAAGTAATTTATCTGAAAAAGAGTTCAAAGTAATGGTTCATAAAGATGCTCACCAAACTTGGGAGAGGGATGGATGAACACAGTGAGAACTTCAACAAAAAGTTGGAAAATGGAAGGAAGGAGCAAACAGAAATCACAGAGCTGAAAAAACAAAAACTGATCTTGATACAATATAGGGGTTCAACGGCAAACTAGACAAAGCCGGACCAATGAACTCGAAGACAGGACAGAGGAACTCCCCCCAACAGAGCAGCGGAAAGAGAAAAGAAGGAAACAAAGTGAAGATAGCTTAAGGGCCTTCTGAGACAACACTGATAAGACTAACATTTACATTATATGAATCCCAGAAGGAGAAAGGGCCAGAAAACTTATTTGAACAAATAACTGAAAACTTTAATAACCTGGGGAAGGAAAGACACACAGATCCAGAAGGACAGCGAATTCCAAATGAAATAAATGCAACAGAGGGGCCCATACCAAGACACATTATAATTAAAATGCCATCAGTTTAAAAAAAAAAGAGAGAGAGAGAATATCTTAAAGGCAGCAAGAAAAAAAAATAACTTATTACATACAAGGAGACCCCATCGGACTATGAGCACATGTTTTCAGCAGAAATATTCCAAGTACTGAAAGAAAAAGACTTCCAACCAAGAATATGCTATTTGGCAAAGTTATCATTCACAACTGAAGGGCAGATAAAGAGCTTTCCAGACAAGCAAGAGATAAAAAAGTTCATTACCACTCAACGGGTCTTACAAGAAATGTTAAACGGACATATTTAAGCTGGAAAAAAAACAAAAGGGGGGGATTGCTAATTAGTAACAAGAAAACGTATAAAAGCATAAATCTCATTGGTAAAGGAAACTATACATTAAAGGAGTATGTGAATCAAGTGTGAAGCTAGTGTAAAGATCTCAAAAAAGGAGTAAGGTAACTACAACTATAATAATGAGCTAAGGGACGCACAAGACAAAAAGATAAAATGTAACCAGCAAAATGTAAAATGGGGGGGGTGGAGTGTAAAAATGTACAGCTTCGAATGCATTCACACTTAAGTTGTTATAAACCTAAAATAGGCTACTATGAAAGTAAGTCGTTATACTTAAGCCTCATGGTAACCACAAAGCAAAAAGCCGTAGTAGCTAAAAGAGCAATAATGAGAAAGGAAGCATGCCACTAAAGAATTCATCAACCACAAAGGAAGAGAGCAAGAGAAGTAGAAAGAAAAAAAAAAGAATGGAAAAACAGCCAGAAAATAATGAACAAAATGGCTACAAGTACATACTGATCAATAATTACTATAAATGGATTAAATTCACCAACCAAAAGACACAGAAGCTGAAAGGGTAAAAACAAAAGAAGACCCATCTATATGCTCCCAATAAGAGACCCATTTCAGACATAAGAACACACACAGACTGAAAGTGAAGGGATGGAAAAAAATGTTCCACGCAAATCAAAACCAAAAGAAAGCTAGGGTAGCTCTACTTTCTCCACAGACAAAATACTTCAAAAACAAGACTGCAGTAAGAGACAAAGAAAGGCATTACATAATGACAAAGGGGTCAGTCCAAAAGGAGGATATAGTACTTACAAATATTTAGGCACCAACATAGGAGCCCCTAAATATATAAACCAAATATTAAAGGATCTAACAGGAAATAGAAATACGACAGTAGGGGACATCAGTACCCCTACTTACACCAATGGATTGATCATCCAGACAGAAGATCAATAATGAGGAAACATCAACCTTAAACCACACATTGAGCCAGAGGGAAATAACAGACATATACAGAACGTGTGTGTATGTATATGTATGTATGTATGTGTATGTGTGTGTGTATATATATATATATATATATACATATATATAAATTCAACATCCACGCACAATCAAAACTCTCAACAGAGTGAGCGCAGAGGAAACACAGCTCAACATAACAAAGCCCGAATGTGACACACACATAGCTAACATAATACTCGGTGGTCAAAGCTGAAAGCTTTTCCTCTAAGGTCAGGAACAAGACACGAACACTGCTCTCGTCACTTTTACCAACATGGTACTGGATGTCCTAGCCAGAGCAAGTAGGGCAGAAAAGAAAGAAAAGGCATCCAAAATGGAAAGAAGAAGTGAAACTGTCACTATCTGCCGATGTTTATGTACAGAAATTTCTATGTAGAAAACCCCAAAGAGTCCACCAAAAAACTGTCAGAATAAATGAATTCAGTGAAGTTGCAGGATACAAAATCAACAATACAGAAATCTGTTGCATTTTTCTACAGTAACAAGCCATCAGAAAAAGAAATTAAGAAACAATCCCATTTTTAAAAAGTCCCATTTACAATGCACTGGAAAGGATAACATA